AATTATGGTGGAAAATAAGTATTTGGTCACCTACAAACATGCAAGATTTCTGGCTCTCACAGACCTGTAACTTCTTCTTTAAAAGGCTCCTCTGTCCTCCACTCGTTACCTGTATTAGTGGCACCTGTTTGAACTTGTTATCAGTATAAAAGACACCTGTCCACAACCTCAAACAGTCACACTCCAAACTCCACTATGGCCAAGACCAAAGAGCTGTCAAAGGACACCAAAAACAAAATTGTAGACCTGCACCAGGCTGGGAAGACTGAATCTGCAATAGGTAAGCAGCTTGGTTTGAAGAAATCAACTGTGGGAGCAATTATTAGGAAATGGAAGACACTGATAATCTCCCTCGATCTGGGGCTCCACGCAAGATCTCACCCCGTGGGGTCAAAATGATCACAAGAACGGTGAGCAAAAATCCCAGAACCACACGGGGGGACCTAGTAAATGACCTGCAGAGAGCTGGGACCAAAGTAACAAAGCCTACCATCAGTAACACACTACGCCGCCAGGGACTCAAATCCTGCAGTGCCAGACGTGTCCCCCTGCTTAAGCCAGTACATGTCCAGGCCCGTCTGAAGTTTTTTGCTAGAGTGCATTTGGATGATCCAGAAGAGGATTGGGAGAATGTCATATGGTCAGATGAAACCAAAATATAACTTTTTGGTAAAAACTCAACTCGTCGTGTTTGGAGGACAAAGAATGCTGAGTTGCTCCAGATCTCAACCCCATAGAAAATCTTTGGAGGGAGTTGAAAGTCCGTGTTGCCCAGCGACAGCCCCAAAACATCACTGCTCTAGAGGAGATCTGCATGGAGGAATGGGCCAAAATACCAGCAACAGTGTGTGAAAACCTTGTGAAGACTTACAGAAAATGTTTGACCTGTGTCATTGCCAACAAAGGGTATATAACAAAGTATTGAGAAACTTTTGTTATTGACCAAATACTTATTTCCACCATAATTTGCAAATAAATTCATAAAAAATCCTACAATGTGATCTTCTTGATTTTTTTTCACATTTTGACTGTCATAGTTGACGTGTACCTATGATGAAAATAACAGGCCTCTCTCATCTTTTTAAGTGGGAGAACTTGCACAATTGGTGGCTGACTAAATACTCCCCCCCCCCCCCCCACTTTATTCAATGGGGGAAGATTACCATCACAATATGGACACATAGAGAAAGTAATCCGACATGACACCCCTCCGACATGACACATGACACCCTCTCTCTCCCTCCCTCCCTTCTATCTCTTTCTCCCTCTTCTCTCTCAATCACTCTCTTCCCCCCCCCCCTCCCTCCTTCAATTCAATTCAAAGGGCTTTATTGGCATGGGAAACATATGTTTACATTGCCAAAGCAAGTGAAATAGATAATAAGCAAAAGTGAAATAAACAACAGTAAACATTACACTCACAAAAGTTCCAAAGGAATAGAGACATTTCAAATGTCATATTATGGCTATATACAGTGTTGTAACGATGTGCAAATAGTTAAAGTACAAAAGGGAAAATAAATAAACATAAATATGGGTTGTATTTACAAAGGTGTTTGTTATTCACTGGTTGCCCTTTTCTTGTGGCAACAGGTCACAAATCTTGCTGCTGTGATGGCACACTGTGTTATTTCACCCAATGGATATGGGAGTTTATCAAAATTGGATTTGTTTTCTAATACTTTGTGGGTCTGTGTAATCTGAGGGAAATATGTGTCTATAATATGGTCATACATTTGGCAGGAGGTTAGGAAGTGCAGCTCAGTTTCCACCTCATTTTGTGGGCAGTTTGCACATAGCCTGTCTTCTCTTGAGAGCCAGGTCTGCCTACGGCGGTCTCTCTCAATAGCAAGGCTATGCTCACTGAGTCTGTACATAGTCAAAGCTTTCCTTAATTTGGGGTCAGTCACAGTGGTCAGGTATTCTGCCACTGTGTACTCTCTGTTTAGGGCCAAATAGCATTCTAGTTTGCTCAGTTTTTTTGTTAATTCTTTCCAATGTGTCAAGTAATTATCTTTTTGTTTTCTCATGATTTGGTTGGGTCTAATTGTGTTGCTGTCCCGGGCCTCTGTGGGGTCTGTTTGTGTTTGTGAACAGAGCCCCAGGACCATCTTGCTTAGAGGACTGTTCTCCATCATCTCTCTGTAGGTGAAGGCATGCATTATTTGGTGTTTTACGTTGTACACAGAGGATATTTTTGCAGAATTCTGAAAGCAGAGCCTTGATTTGGTGTTTGTAGCATTTTGTGAATTCTTGGTTGGTGAGCGGACCCCAGACCTCACAACCATAAAGGGAAATGGGTTCTATAACTGATTCATGTATTTTTAGCCAGATCCTAATTGGTATGTCAAATTTTATGTTCCTTTTGATGGGGTAGAAGGCACTTCTTGCCTTGTCTCTCAGATCATTCACAACTTTGTGGAAGTTACCTGTGGCGCTGATGTTTAGGCCAAGGTATATATCCTTTTTTTGTGTGCTCTAGGGCAACGGTGTCTAGATTTAATTTGTATTTCTGGTCCTGGCAACTGGACCTTTTTTGGAACACAATTTTAAAAGTTTTACTTTGAATTACTGTCAGGGCCCAGGTCTAACAGAATATGTTCAGAAGATCTAGGTGCTGTTGTAGGCCCTCCTTGGTTGGGGACAGAAGCACCAGATAATCAGCAAACACTAGACATTTGACTTCAGATTCTAGTAGGGTGAGGCCAAGTGCTGCAGACTGATCTAGTGTCCTCGCCAATTCGTTGATATATACATTGAAGAGGGTGGGACTCAAACTGCATCCCTGTCTCACCCCACAGCGTTTTGGGAATAAATGTTTTAACCGCACACTAATTGTTTGTGTACATCGATTTTATAATATTGTATGTTTTTCAACCCCTACACCGCTTTCCATCTATTTGTACAGCAGACCCTCATTTCAAATTGAGTCAAAAGCTTTTTGTAAATAAAAAAACCATGAGAATACTTTTTTTTGGTTTGTTTGCTTGTCAATTAGGGTGTGCAGGGTGAATACGTTGTCTGTTGTACGGTAATTAGGTAAAAAGCAAATTTGACATTTGCTCAGTATGTTGTTTTCACTGAGGAAATGCACGAGTCTGCTGTTAATGATAATATAGAGGATTTTCCCAAGGTTGCTGTTGACGCATATTCCACAGTAGTTATTGGGGTCAAATTTGTCTCCACTTTTGTGGATTGGGGTGATCATTCCTTGGTTCCAAATATTGGGGAAAATGCCAGAGCTGAGGATGATGTTAAATAGTTTAAATATAGCCAACTGGAATTTGTGGTCTATATATTTTATCATTTCATTTAGGATACCAGCAACACCACAAGCCTTTTTGGGATGGAGGGTTTGTATTTTGTCCTGTAGTTTATTCAAATGTCATTGGAGAATCTAGTGTGTCCTTGTAGTCTTCACCCTCCCCCCCCCCCCCCTCTCTCTCATTCTCCCCCCCTACATCCTATCTCCCTCCTTGAATGAATGAATATTTACATTTACATTTTAGTCATTTAGCAGACGCTCTTATCCAGAGCGACTTACAGTTAGCGCATACATTATTTTATCGAACCCACAACCCTGGCGTTGCAAACGCCATGCTCTACCAACTGAGCTACATCCCCTGCCGGCCATTCCCTCCCCTACCCTGGACGACGCTGGGCCAATTGTGCGCCGCCCCATGGGTCTCCCGGTCGCGGCCGGCTATGACAGAGCCTGGATTCGAACCAGGATCCACTGCGCCACTCGGGAGGTTAATAATAATGCCATTCTTTGCAAGGTATTGGAAAACGTCCCTGGTCTTTGTGGTTGAATCTGTACTTGAAATTCTCTACTCAACTGAGGGACCTTACAAATAATTGTATGTGTTAGGTACAGAGATGGGGTAATCATTCAAAAATCAGGTTAACCACTAATTGCACACAGAGTGAGTCCAATTGACATCAAACTTTTTACTGTCTGTCTGCCTGCCTGTCTGTCTGCCTGTGTCTGTCTGTCTGTCTTTGTCTGCCTGTCTGTCTGTGTCAGCCTGTCTGTGGGAGAGAGGAGGGAGACAGAGGAGGGAGAGAGTGATGAGAGGAGGGGAGGCAGGGAAAAAAGGAGGGAGAGAGAATGAAGGGGGGAGGAGAAAGAGAGAGAAAAGGGGGAGAGTGGGGAGGGAGTGGTGAGAGGGTGAAGGAGGGAAAGAGTGAGGGAGGGGTAGAGAGAGACGGAGAGGGTGAGAAAGGGGGGAGAGGGTGGAGGGGTGAAAGAAGGGGGAACCTGAGAGAAAAGAGAATGAGGGGTGGACAAAGGGGTAGAGAGTGTGAGAGACACAGACATGCTGCTGAGCACTGCTGTCCTGCAGTATTAATCCGTTCTGGTCGTCACTAGTTACCACAGCCACAAAGTCATAAACTCCGCCTATTTCTACAATGTATCTTCTTAAAATTAGATTTTAAACCTAAACCAAACCACATTCCTTATTTTATGCCTAACCCTAACCTTAAATTAAGACCAAAAACCCAATGTATAGTTTTCTTGAATTTTTGTGGCTGCGCTTTCAAGTGGAAACCCATTTTTGTTTTGAGAACACTATTCTTTTTCCCGCATTGAACACATATCTCCGGCCATTTTTCATAGTTTAGATTCTAACCATAGAAATAGAATGAATAGAACTGTGACCCCATTCACGTCAATGACGGCATAATGGGTGGATAAGCGGCTATTTGCTAGTGTACCCGTAAAATCAAAGCAGGAAGTAAAATCACGAACTAAAGGCAGGAAGTGTACCCATCAATCTGTACTGTGATTTGTTGAATAAACTCAATTGCCGTTAAAAAAAAAATATTCCATTGCATGAGCCACATCAGTTACCATCAATTGAATTAATATTCCACATTACCAGGCAGCCATTGATAGCGTACCCATGAGTTTACTAGTGAAATTGCAAGGGTTAGTGGTTCCAATGCCGTTGTATTTATTATATTTCTATAATTATAACCACGCCCCATTTATTTCACAATAACCAATGAAACGTCTATGAAACTAATGCACCAACGCGCCTGCTCCGTGGATGATAACACGTGGTTCTTGGCAAACAACGCAGACGCACACGGTGCTTCAACAATGGCGGCCGATGGATGCAGTTTTTCGTTGGGTCTACCCTGCGTTTTCTCTCCAAAATCACGCCAATACCTAGCTTTATTTTCCCAGGATGGCAGACTCCGTATATGGAACACAGATAGTAAAATACTTCATCAAGAATACGTGCCTTCAGCCCACTTGAGTGCCACTTGTACCTGCATAGCTTGGGGACCATGCCGAATGGCCAAGGTATGTGTAGGGGGAGGCATAGCCATAGGCCCGGACGAGCATGCTAGGAAATAATGTTCTGATAACTTGATCAAATATATATGAACATATTTACTTAATTAGATGTATATTTGTGGTAAAGTATCATATTTAGTCGTTTACCATTATGTAATGTGAACTGCGTAGCAAAGTAATTACAATTTTAGCTTCGCTAGCAACGAGCTAGTTCGTTACCTCAACTGTCCTGCAGGACGCACATGTTTGTCGCACATGGTGGTTGTTCCAAAATGTTTGCCACACGTCTCTTTTAAAGTGTCATGATTAATACCAAAATCCACTTTTCTGTAAAACAAATGCATATAGTGACCACCAGTAAAAATGAATTTGCATTTCAAATACGAACACGTTAAATGTAACTAGCTATCAATTTAGCGAACCGTAAATGGTTACTGGACCTAGCTAGCTAGGTTAGCCTCTCTAGCTAGCTATTCACCATTCATGACGCAGATTCAGATTACCAAATCCTTATTTTTACTACCCCAATGGTTTTCTTTGTACAAGCCCCACCGTAACATATAACACTACACGAGACTGATGTTGTAATGATTTGAATAGCATTTAATTTTACTAGATACGTTTGACTCCGTTTCATTATCGTTTCACCATCGTTTCCTAGCCTTGTCAGCTAGCTAGCTAACGTTATATACCCACTGACAATTTACTAGGTAAGTATGACAAAGTGAATTATACCCCCAATCAGCATTCCACGGCTTCTGTACCTAGTGTTACATTGTCACTTCAAACTGTAAGAATAACCTGTAGGATAACCCTTTTTGGTTCCTTGTTGTTGAACCTTTAAACCCAACGAATAGTTATTTGTTGAAAAGTGTTCCTGGAACCAGAAAGAACAAAATAACCCATTGTGGTTCTAGGTAGCATACATTTTTATCTAAAAGTGTAACGTTAGCTAGATACCAGCGAGTTGACTACACGTAACATAATTTGATTTGTGACCATAAACGAAATCGTTTTGACAACAAAATACCTTTGTGATTTAGCATATGCCATTGATGTTGTGGTCTAGTTTCATGATTTCAGGTTTCTGTCAGTGCAAGGTTTAAACTTGTACAGTATGGTGATTCATCAGATCACCCATAGATGAGGCCCTCCAAACAGAAAAGGAAAACAAAAGTGGTGTCAATCAAAGTCAATAAAAAACGTGATTGACTTAACTGTATACTTTTACTACAGGAGGGACCTCTGAGGAAGAAGAGGAAATCAGAGGCAGGACATGTGGAGGAGCAGGTGGACTTGTTGGCTCTGGGCACGGTGGTGGGCAGCATTATCATCTACAGCACAGTGAAGGGGGCACTGCACTGCACACTGGTAAGGACTGGGATGTAGCGCGACTGAAGTATCAATCATATTCAGATGAATGTTGCTTGCTCAATGCAACAAAATGGTTGACTTTGTGTTTGAACATGGTACTTAAAAAAAAATATATTATGAAAGGCTGCATTGACAAGTCACTGGGGTTAAAGTTCTGTCACTGTGACGGATATCTGTCATATGCATTCTGGAGCGTTTTCTTCTTTTTGATCAGTGTAGATCCGCAGTAAAAAAAATCTCTGGGGTTGTTGGAGATGACAGCCTAATAGACAGAAGCTTGTCTGTTCTACGAAATGTATTCTCAAATTGTATATACACTGTGTGCACTGAACTCACATGCGTGACTGTTGATTACACGCCAATGTTCAGATGAAGGGAGTTAAATAGTTTATAATGCGCACCACAGCAGTGCTCAAATCTGACAGCTGGATGTAGCCTACTGTAGCTGCAAAGTAATTCAAAGCCTACACTTTAACACTCAGGATGTAACGTTCCAGTGGTACTTTCCATGTAATGTTATGAAAACAAAATCCGATAACCTCATAGTAGAATAGTTTACCTAGTCGGCTTGTGTGTTCTATGCAATATATATATATTCCTCACCAGGCACATTCAAGTTCAGAGCTTTAGGAGGGAAAGTTATTCTGACAAGCAGTCAATGCACAACAGTTCTTAACGCTACCGCGGGAAAACACTTTTGAAAAGTTTTTGCATCTGTTAAAAAAAAGAGGGGTATCCCAGTTTTACATTGCTACCACATTTATTTAGCTGCTCCTGAAATTGTGTGCGTGGCATCATTTTATAAATGCAGTTTTACAACCTGAGTTTCAAGCATGGTATAGGCACAGCTGTGCAAAATAGCTATATTAAAGGGACAATGGTGTCTTAAAAGGGCAATGACATGCTTTGTAATGAAGCAAACATTTTCCATGTTAATAATTACATTTATAATACAACTTATAATTAATAACAATCAGGATGTTGTCCAATGGGGTGAATGCATTTGGAGAAACCCCATGCTTTAGCCTATGTACATTTTTATAGGCACCATGCTTCCTTTAGTTGGGCTACAGGTGACAATTCTTATTGTGAATAGCACATCTGATAATATAGACCCCTCCAAACAAAACTCTTGACCTCGAAGCCAGTTCCACTGCATTTTTTTCATTGTTCCCTTCAAATCACGGACTGATTTAGACCTGGGACACCATCTGTGTGTAATTAATTATTAGGTAGGACAGAAAACCAGCAGGCTCCTGACCTCTGAGGGTAAGAGTTTGAATACCCCTGATATAGACTATGCATGGTCCAATATGTTAAAATAATTATAATTTTTACACGCTAGTTATTGGGCCCATTTCTGGAGGTGGAAATTATATTTTAGATGGGGTCCGCATCCTTTTATTTGTTTTAATTTGAGTAGAATGTACTTTTATTAAAAAAAAGAAGTCACCAGGACTGAGATTCTCAGTCCTTCTACATATAAATTATCCCCGGGAGGGCCCCACATCTTCTAAGCAAGGGGAATGGAATTGGTCAAACTCAACCGTTTAATACATGTACAAAATTATCCTTTTCCCTAAAAGCATGATGGTCATCACTTTCTTAGATGAAAGGGGTGGTTAACCTGACCCCAGACAATCGAGCTGAGATCAACTTAAAGGAAAATTCCACACCAGAGCTCTCTTTTGGTATTTGTTTCATTAGTCCATTGTTGACCGCCCTAAAATGTTTTGCTTGTCAGCCCTAACCTTTTCAAGATATTTAACTTTCAAAATACAGAAATCATCCCCCGTATGATGCATTTCGCATTAAATGATGCATTAAGGTCCAGGCATGCGATTTTTTTTGTTTGTATTTTTGCTTTAAACATGCATGTAATTTCACAATTACATTTGTCGTCAACCTTGCATCTCTGGTATTATATAATTATTATTGAAATGTCTGATACTATGTCTTTATCCATATTGTAAGCCCTATGATAATTTATTTGGAGTGAAATGTTATCTCACGTTATTAAGGATCATATTTGACCACTGCTCATCTCTGCTCCGTCCCAGGATGGAGGTCACAGTGGCGGAGTGAACTGTGTGCAGTGGCACCCCGAGGACGGCCTGCTGTACAGCGGCTCAGACGACACACACATCGTAGAGTGGGACCTGCGGACAGGCAAGACTTGCTGGTGGGTACCTGCCCTTTCTGTGGGGGGGGGGGGGGGGGGGGGGGGGTGTTGTTTGTAGAAATCGATGTCCCTTAAACAGTAGTCTAAAATCAGAAGGTGATTTTATTTGTTCCCCCACGTTTTCAGAGAAACAACCCAAACATTTTTTGGACATTAGACTGTAAAAACACAAGTATTCCCACGCGTAATACAGATAAGTGATTGTATACAAATGTAAGCAAGGTTTGAAATGATTGTTTTAGTCAAATATTCTATATTTTTGGGCCTCTTGCGGTCAATTTGCAGGCTACAAATTATTTGTAGTAGATTTGTAGGTCCCCTGGCCATCCGCTCAATCTATTTGATGATCCCGGTCTTGCAGGGTCTCTCAGCAGTATTGTAAGGAATAAGGATTGTTGGAACGTGGTTTAAAGTATAGAGCAGTGGGTGCCAGACTCCTTACAAAGGCAAACGTCCAAGAGAAATCAAAGCATCTGGAATAGTTAGAATGTGCATCTGTATCAATGTGATTTAGAATTTAGTAAACCTGTGTCTTGGGTGGTGTAGCAATAATTGCAGCCTCCCCCAGCACACATATATATATATATATATATATGTATATGTATATATATGTATGTATGTATGTATGTATGTGTGTGTATATATATATATATATATGTATGTATGTATGTATGTGTTGGTGTGAGTTCAAACCTGTCCCACTGCCCATTGACACTCCAATCCTATGTTTTCTCTCTCCAACTATGTCTTTAATAAACAATCTTGGGTGGGTGGGAATTAAAGGGGTCGGAATTGTTTCTATCTGTATTTTATGGAAGACCTATTAATTGTCCGTTTTCTCAACAGTAAGTGGAAGGCGGACCGTGCGTCAGTGACCAGTCTGTGTGTGAGTCCTGATGGCAAGCTGCTGCTCTCAGCGGGACATACCATCAAGATGTGGGACCTCAAGACCAAGGAGCTGTACAGGGTAAGTTAGAGGGACCTGTCCAGCAGTGACATGGCCTACATTCACATGAATTCATCACGCAACTATCCAGGCAAACGGACACACCAAGGGTCCTATCCTCATGTTCGAGTTCATTTACAGTGCATTCGGAAAGTATTCAGACCCCTTGACTTTTTCCACATTTTGTTATAGCCCCTAAAAATGATTTAAAAATGTTTCCCCCCTGAACAATCTACACACAATACCCTGTAATGACTAAGCAAAAATAGTTTTTTTTAGAGCTTTTTGCAAATGGAAAAAAATTAATGAAATATCACATTTACATAAGTATTCAGACCCTTTACTCTGTACTTTGTTGAAGCACCTTTGGCAAGGATATAATAATAATATATAATATGCCATTTAGCAGACGCTTTTATCCAAAGCGACTTACAGTCATTACAGCCTCGTTTGCTTGGGTATGTTTGCAACTGTATTTAGGGAGTTTGTCCCATTCTTCCCTGCAGATCCTCTCAAGCTCTGTCAGGTTTGATGGGGAGCGTCGCTGCACAGCTATTTTCAGGTTTCTAGAGATGTTCGATCGGTTTCAAGTCTGGGTCTGGCTGGGCCACTCAAGGACATTCAGATACTTGTCCCAAAGCCACTCCTGCATTGTCTTGGCTGTGTGCTTAGGGTAGTTGTCCTGTTGAAGGTGAACCTTCACCACAGCCTGAGATCCTGAGCGCACTGGAGCAGGTTTTCATCAAGTACCTCTGTACTTTGCTCCTTTAATCTTTCCCTTAAACCTGACTAGTCTCCCAGTCCCTGCAGCTGAAAAACATCACCATAGCATAATGTTGCCACCAATGCTTCACCGTAGGGATGTTGCCAGGTTTTCTCCAGACGTGATGCTTTGCATTCAGTCCAAAGAGTTCAATCTTGGTTTCATCAGACCAGATAATCTCGTTTCTCATGGTCCGAGAGTCCTTTAGGTACCTTTTGGCAAAAACAAAGCGGGCTGTCATGTGCCTTTTACTGAGGAGTGGCTTCTGTCTGGCCACTCTACCATAAAGGCCTGATTGGTGGAGTGCTGCAGAGATGTGAGAACCTTCCAGAAGGACAATCATCTCCACAGAGGAACTCTGGAGCTCTGTCAGTGACCTTTGGGTTCTTGGTCACCTCCCTGACCAAGACCTTAAATAGACAGGTGTGTGCATTTTACATTTACATTTTAGTCATTTAGCAGACGCTCTTATTCAGAGCGACTTACAGTTAGTGAGTGCATACATTATTTTTTTATTTTTCATACCCCCCAGTGGGAATCGAACCCACAACCCCTGCTCTACATCCCTGCCGACCATTCCCTCCCCTGGACGACGCTGGGCCAATTGTGCGCCGCCCCATGGGTCTCCCGGTCGCGGCCGGCTACGACAGAGCCTGGATTCAAACCAGGATCTCTAGTGGCACAGCTAGCACTGCGATGCAGTGCCTTAGACCACTGCGCCACTCGGGAGATGTGCCTTTCCAAATCATGTCCGATCAATTGAATTTACCACAGGTGGACTCCAATCAAGTTGTAGAAACATCTGAAGGATGATCAATGGAAACAGGATGTACCTGAGCTCAATTTCGAGTCTCATAGCAAAGGGTCTGAATACTTATGTAAACTGTTTATTTGGAATAAATTAGCAAAAATGTCTTACCCTGTCATTATGGGGTATTGTGTAGATTGAGGGGTAAAACAATATTTTAGTCTATTTTAGAATAAGTCTGTGACGCAACAACATTTGGAAAAAGGCAAGGTGTCTGAATACTGTCTGACTGAACTGTATATTTCCATGTAGCACCCTCATAACCGTCAATACAAACGGATCCATTGTAGTGCTGACTCCATTTAGTCGATTGTTTGGTGAATGGGCTGTTGGTCGAGCAGTGGCACATATATAAAAAAACATATATGGCACACGAGACACCTGTCTGAGTGGACTAATCCATTGCTGAGGCCACTGGGATGGCAAAAATGTATTGTCTTGTTTTGAGCGATCCTGTCGATCTTGAGGAAACGCACCTGATTACGCATAGAAGTAGGCCTAGGCTACCTGGCCTGCGTGCAACTGTAGGCCTATAAATGTGCCCGTTTGCGGATCTGATACGATTTCTGATTATAACTCACCATCACTAATGAGCTTCTCAAAGTAACTTTTTCTTTGCCTCAAACAGCAGGTAAACAGTCTGTTTTTACATCCATTGAGAATTACACAATAGTTCCTCATTGTAGCCTGTTTGAAAAAATATTTTCCAGCTCTCTCCCTTTTGATAACTACTCGGCATGAAAGGGGAAAAGAATGTCATAGTCTGATCCGGTGGAAACTTCATAAAATAGGCCTACCTGATTACTACTTATCCCTTACGCAAATAGCCTACTGCTGTGTCTGTCAGGAGCTCACTGGCTGGGAAACTCTTGAGCTCCCAGAATATTTTATGCAATGTTGCGAGTTCGGCAGGCCAAGTTAATAGTTGATACATTGTTTCAAGTTCCTTGAATGCGGTGTCCTCTAATGGCACTGATATCTGGCAGGGGAAGAGGGAACAAGTCCATATTCATCCTAGTCATCTCTATTCAGTGAGAAAAAAGGCTGGTTCATGCTATGGCCACAGCAAGCAGAATATCTTTTTTGTGTATGAGTGTTACCACCCTATTTCCGCTCCAGGAGTGTTAGATTTGGGTCGTGTTCAGTAGGCAACAAAACAGAAACGCCTCTTCATTGCAGAACATTTCTGTTGTGTGTCCTAATGAACACGGTCCAGATCAGTGATTACCTCACAAAGGAAGAGGAAAGTATTCAAACGAAACCCCCTGTCTTAGAGGTCTTCGCCAAACTTACATCTCCAACCTGTTTTCATCAGAAGTTCACAGGTCACTCCACAGCCGTGACGACCCTGCGCTTCGCCACCACGCGTCCCCCGGACAGCAATGGCCTCTACTTCCTGTCTGGGGCGGCTCACGACAGACTCATCAGCGTGTGGTGAGAACGGACCACCATAATGCTTCTCTCAATAGACCCACTATACACAGGTTTTTTTTATTTTATTGTGTTGCATGTGATATGAAGTGACTCGTTAAAGGAGCTCCTTTGTAAAAGAGACTTGTCATTTGTCTCGACAGCCTGATTGTATAAAGAATAGGGCTGTCAAATGATTACAATAATTAGTCAAATAATTGCATGACTTTCTGTAGTTAATCGAGAATAATGGCTATTTTTGAATGTGCTCAAATTTGGTCCTAAAGAAAGATTTAAAAAGCAGTGTATTGAGTTACAGCCATACGTTGCTTTGTAAGGGAAGGAAACACAAAATAATCTGTATCAAACAAAATGCTCCCCATGTTTACATCTGCGGGTTCTTAAAGTCTTAGTTAAACTCTGAAAAAGAAATTCAAGACTCAAGGCCTTTAAAACAAAGGTCTTAAAACATGCGACAGAGATTACTACAGTGTTTCCATTATATTGTGCCTCTGCTTAAATCTACAAAATTGAACATCAAATAATACTTGAGGCACTTTCAAGATGTTAGAGCTATCCACATGTGCACCTCTGTTTACGTCAAGAGCGTGTGCCAGTGTGAGTCGGGCCGTTGCCAGAGGAGAGAGCAAGGTAGCCTATACAATTTGATAGACAACACTAACTAGAGCTGGGATGAAATGAGCTACACCGACATTTCACTCTTACGGAAGCAATTTTGCTTGTCAGTGATTAGGCTACACAACGTTCCTGTAGATTTTTGGGTTTTAAAACCATTATTTGGTCAACATTCATGTGCATTAACTTGATTCCTGCAATGACAGTATCTGTCCTGTCCCTGTTTCGCTGCTGGCTCTCACTCCCGCCACCCTTAGCACACAGAGTGAAGGGAGAGATGCATTCTGGTAAGCATACTGACAGTTGATCAGCATTTCGTAATGTATACTGAACAAAAATATAAACGCAACAATGTTTCATGAGATGACATAAAAGATCCAAGAAATGTCCCATACTCACAAAAAGCTTATTTCTCTCATTTTGTGCACAAATGTGTTTACATTTACATTTTAGTCATTTAGCAGACACTCTTATCTAGAGCGACTTAGTGAGTGCATACATTTTCATACTGGCCCCCCGTGGGAAACGAACCCACAACCCTGGCGTTGCAAGCGCCATGCTCTACCAACTGAGCTACAGGGGACTACATCACTTTTTAGTGAGCATTTTTCCTTTGCCAAGATAATCCGTCCACCTGACAGGTGTGGCATATCAAGAAGCTGATTAACCCTTGGCCTACAACGGTCGCGCCCCCGTTGTAGACCAAGGGTCTGTCTTTAAGCTAGAGATGTTTTTATTGCTTGGGCTGCGTCTCAATATGCCGATATCGCCTTTCCACGTCTGCAGTGAAAGGTGGCAGAGCTAGTGCTGTGTTTGTCAGACCATGAGCCATCCCGAAAATCTCACCTCACAAACGTCTGTAGCGTCCGAATTGTTTGGCCTAAACTATTATGATCACTATTGAAAGCTGAGACTCTCACGAACACGATGAGATTCTCCGTTTTGCCCTAGGACGAGACTCACCTGAAGGTCCCCGGTACCAGTTTAAAAAATGAATGGAAGTATATATGGAGATAGTTTACTGGCTAAAATAAGGGGATAAATGCATGTTTTAAAAAATAAACTTTAAAAAAATTAACATTTAAACATTTCTTCCCCCTCTAGACATATTGAAAAACAGATTCACTACATGGAATAACAGATTCCAAGAATAATCTTTATGTCCTTCAGATATAGACCATACTTCCTTTTAGACTTTTCTTGGAATATCTGTTGTTCCATGTAGTGAATCTGTTATTCAATAAGTTTCTAATGGCTAATAGCAGGAATGCCAAATTCAATGTTTCATCCAGTAATATAATAATTATTTGGTACCATAAGGGGTCTGAAAATTCAAGATCAAATAGCTAAATGATCCCTGGTATGACCATCTTAAAACCATTCCATATGTTAGCTTAGAAAAACCCCTCCCCCAGCTAGAGGGTTAAACAGCATGATCATTACACAGGTGCACCTTGTGCTGGTGACAATAAAAGGCCACACTAAAACGTGTGGTTTTGTCACATCACAATGCCACAGGTGTCAAGTTTTGAGGGAGTGTGCAATTGGCATACTGACTGCGCGAATGTCCACCAGAACTTTTGCCAGGGAATTGAATGTTAGTTTGTCTGCCATAAGCTCCAACGTCGTTTTAGAGAATTTGGCAGTACGTCCAACCGGCCTCAACCACAGACCATGTGTAACCATGCCAGCCCAGGACATCCACATCCGGCTTCTTCACCTGCAGTAACGTCTGAGACCAGCCACCTGGACAGCTGATGAAACTGAGGAGAATTTCTATCTTTAATAAATCCCTTTTGTAGGGCAAAAACTCATTCTGATTGGCTGAGCATGGCTCCCCTGTGGGTGGGCCTATGCCCTCCCAGGCCCACCCATGGCTGCGCCCCTGCCCAGTCATGTGAAATCTATAGATTAGGGCCTTATGAACTGTAACTCAGTAAAATTGTTGAATGTTGCGTTTTATATTTTGTTCAGTATAATTGCGGGAAATACCGTACTGCTAAAGAGGAGACTCAGCTTTTGAGTATAATTATTAACTGAAATATAGAGGCAATGACAACACTTTAGAGTATATAATTGAGATGATGCACTAGCGAAACTGAGCCGTGCACGCCATTTACGGTGAATCTAGTAGCCTATACAGTGCATTCGGGAAGTATTCAGACCCCTTGACCTTTTCCACATTTTGTTACGTTACGGCCTTCTAAAATTGATAATTGTTTTTTTCCCCCCTCATCAATCTACACACAATACCCCATAACGACAAAGCAAAAACAGGTTTTAAGACATTTTTGCAAATTTATAAAAATAAACTATCACATTTACATAAGTATTCAGATCCTTTACTCAGTACTTTGTTGAAGTACCTTTGGCAGCGATTACAGCAGCAGGTATTCTTGGGTATGACTCTACAAGCTTTGTACACCTGTATTTGGGGAGTTTCTCCCATTCTTCTATGCAGATCCTCTCAAGCTCTGTCAGGTTGGATGGGGAGCGTCGCTGCACAGCTATTATCAGGTCTCTCCCGAGATGTTCAATCTAGTTAAAGTCTGGCCTCTGGCTGGGCCACTCAAGGACATTCAGAGACTTGTCCCAAAGCCACTCCTGCGTTGCCTTGGCTGTGTGCTTAAGGTCGTTGTCCTGTTGGAAGGTGAACCTACGCCCTAGTCTGAGGTTCTGAGCAGGTTTTCATGAAGGATCTCTATGTACTTTGCTCCGTTCATCTTTCCCTCGATCCTGACTAGTCTCAGTCCCTGCCGCTGAAAAACATCCCCACAGGATGATGCTGCCACCACAATGCTTCACCGTAGAGATGGTGCTAGGTTTCCTTCAGACGTGACGCTTGGCATTCAGGCAGACGAGTTCAATCTTAGTTTAATCAGATCAGAGAATCCTTTAGGTGCCTTTGGCAAACTCCAAACGGGCTGTCATGTGCCTTTTTACTGAGTGGCTTCCGTCTGGCCACTACCATAAAGGCCTGATTTGTGGAGTGCTGCAGATATGGTTGTCCTTCTGGAAGGTTCTCTCATCTCCACAGAGGAATTCTGGCGCTTTGTCAGTGACCATCGGATTCTTGGTCACCTCCCTGACCAAGGCCCTTCTCCCCCTATTGCTCAGTTTGGCCGGGCGGCCAGCTCTAGGAAGAGTCTAGGTGGTTCCAAACTTCTTCCATTTAAGTATGATTGAGGCCTTTCCCAAGTTCTGTGCCTCGACACAATCCTGTCTCGGAGCTCTACGGACAGTTCCTTCGAAGTAATGGTTTGGTTTTTGCTCTGATATGCACTGTCAACTGTGGGACCTTATATAGATAGGTGTGTGCCTTTCTAAATCATGTCAAATCAATTGAATTTACTACAGGTGGACTCCCAAGTTGTAGAAACATCTCAAGGATCAATGGAAACAGGATGCACCTGAGCTCAATTTTGAGTCTCATAGCAAATGGTCTGAATACTAATGTAAAAAAGGTATTTCTGTTTTATTTGGAATAAATTTGCCAAAATTTCTAAACCTGTTGTCGCTTTGTCATTATGGGTTGTGTAGATTGAGGGCAAAAAAAAAACAATTTAATCCATTTTATAATAAGGCTGTAACGTAACAATGTGGAAAAAGTCAAGGAATCTGAATACTTTCCGAATGCACTTTATAGGCCTACGAAAGGGAAGTTTTTGTAGGACATTACATTTACCTTTGGTCTATTGCATGGCTATATAGCTAATGTGTTGAGTTCCCACCCTCAAGTGGTAAATGATGGAGCATAGGCTAGGCCCTAGGCCAATATAAACCAAAATGCAGGCAAATGGATCTCTAAAGAGCAAAAAAAGATAAACGCACGTCAAAATATCCATCACGCATTCCCTTACCATATTTGATAAAATGGCTAACTTATTTCATGTCTTACTTGGCACTGTAAAATGGCAGTCTAGAGCCCTCCCGCTTAGCTACCTTGCTTCGAAATATAGCCATTTGAAACCTGATTTCACTGAATGAGGGAATAATTTATAGACTTTAGTTGTAGGCTAATGTTAGTATAATACTTCCAAGAGTTACTCGGTGTGTAGTCTATTTATTTATATATTTTTCCAGCCCCACTCTTAACACACCAGATTCTACTTCTCACCTGGACCTTGTTAAGCTGACACGGGTGTGTTTGAGCAAAGCTGGTTCAAAAGCCTGCACAACCAGCGGCCTAGCTCTCCAGACGGCGAGTTGGCCATATGTTTTATACACTGAGTGTACAAAACATTAAGAACACCTTCCCAATATTGAGTTGCACCATCCCTTTGCCCTCAGAACAGCCTCAATTTGTCAGGGCATGGACCCTACAAGGTGTCAAAAGCATTCCACATGGATGGTGGCGCGTGTTGACTCCAATGCTTCCCACTGTTGTCAAGTTGGCGGGATGTCCTTTGGGTGGTGGACCATGCATGATACACATGGGAAACTGTTGAGCGTGTGAAACCCAGCAGTGTTGTAGTTCTTGACACAAACCGGTGTGCCTGGCACCTACAACCATACACCGCTCGAAGATGCTTAACTTTGGTCTTGCCAATTCACCCTCTGAATTTGCACACACACAATACATATCTAAATAGTCTCCGGGTTTACAAATCCTTTAATCTGTCTCCTCCCCTTAATCTACACTGATTTGAAGTGGATTTAACAAGTGACTTCAATAAGGATAATATATTTCACCTGGTCAGTCTGTCATGGAAAGAGCAGGTGTTCATAATGTATTGTACAGTAAGGGCTGTAAATTTGACTAAGGCATTTTTTCATAGTGGGATCTATATGGTATTGTCATACTAAGCTAGTATTGATATTGAAGCCAAAATTCTGAAATTTGATTAGCTTCTTAGGGTAGCCTAAACAAATGCAGATGGCCAACCCCATGCTTTAGACATCTATAGCCTAGACCAGGGTTCTTCAATTCCGGTCCTAGAGGGCCGAAACACTTCTGTTTTTTATTTCTACCTGGTAGTTAATTGCACTCACCTGGTGTCCCAGGTCTGAATTAGCCCCTGATTAGAAGGAGAGGATGAAAAACAGAGATGTTTCGGCCCTCCAGGACCGGAATTGAAGAACCCTGGCCTAGACACTATGCTAGTACAGCCTAGGGATGGGCATGGTTATTCGAATATCCGAGCGGACATTAGTATTGGATTAGTTGTGAGTATTAATTTGAGGAGAAATAGACAAGCCCATTTTAAAGACCATGACATTTGAAATTTCTATTAAACAGTTTTGAGTTTTTGAGTGCACCGCATAAAGGTAAACATAAAATACAAAAAACGGGGACTAATGTGTGTCGGTCAATTGTTACATCCCTAGCATTATTACCGTTAACTTTGACAGCCCTAATAAAGAACAAATGTTTTTTACTTCAAATTATTTGTATTGGTCGCTTGGTGCCAAGAACTCAAGGTCATGTTTACAAATGAACAAAGCAAAGCCAAATGGCTTGTCTTTGGGCTGACACGTGTGTATGTGCTACATCTTCATGTCTGTATCCACCCCTCAGGCAAGTCCAGGAGGACGGCAATGACAAGAACTCGGTGGTGTCCTTCACCCTGACTGACGAGCCCCAGCACATTGACCTCTTCACCTCCAACAGCAAGGAAGAGGTTAGTCGACCTTGCCTCACTGGAGGTAGGGTAGGGGGCCCGTTTTACCTAACAAGTGCCAGATTAAAGTTCACCAAACGTCCCCCTGTGATCAGTATCTCGCTTGGAGGGACCCAGGAGCACTGACTGTGGAAGGTTCTCCTCTTTATCTCTCGCTCATTCTCCACCCTGCTCTCCTCACATTTCATAATCCTCATCTCCCTTCTTTAGCACGGTGTGCCCTGACCTAATGGCCGTGAGATTGAGATCTGAGGGGACGAAGGAGCGTATCCTCTATAAAATATAAAATAAAGGGTGTTGACCAAACTTTATTCACTGATAAGTGCCTCCCTTGGTTCAAGACATTCCTTAGAAACTGTGTGGGCGTGCATTTGGGGTCTAAGACAAGGGTGTGTTGTGGGTGATTTGGGACTGGACCTCTGACACATGCCTAATGCTATTTCTCCTTCTCCTAGGCGGTGAGGCTGGCGGTGGTGTGTAAGGATGGGCAGCTTCATCTCTTTGAGCACTTTCTGAACGGGTTAGTCTCTAAAACCGTCCCTTCACATCACTGGGCAAGGCTGAGTCTTCTAATGCCTCTGGCACACCAAGGATCGTATCCTCATGTTAATTTACAGCCACTTAGCAGTCAATACCACACACCTTTCTCCTGTCACTGGGCAAGGCGGTGTACTTAAATGGCACTTAGTCTTATACAGTAGCTGGCAGGGGAAGAGTGAACGAGTCCATATTCATCCACCATCTCTATTCAGTGAGGGACAAGGCTGGTTCCTGCTATGGGCACAGACGTATAGTAGTATGACAATTGCCAATTTCAGGGAAGTAGTGATGTTCATAGTAGGGTAAAGAGAATCCTAGGCATCAAGTGGTCTTAACTGTTACATGGTAGTTACACAGGGTAATTACAGTGTAGTAGTTAGATGTTATATAGTATTGACAACTGATTTTTTTTACTCTGTAATTATAGTGCTGGGAAACCAGTTTTCCACAAACGCATGGAGTAGCTAGCCGAATAGAAAAGAAGCCATCCAGGCTCCCCCTTATTTTTGCCGAACAAGCTCTATTTTGGTGGCCTCTGGTACATTCTATTGCTAGATAGGTCTTTCAAACTAGCAACCAGGGTTGTAAATTAACACCTGCCAAATGTGGGTAGATTTTGTCATTGGTGGGTAAGAATGTATATTTCACCAGCCACGTTGGCGGGTGGTTACACAGAGCATTTAGGAACATGTGAGCTTTGGATAAGGTTTATGAGGAGGTTGGTTGAATTGACAAGAAAGGCTATTAGTGTGACAGTCTCGTGTTTCCTGGCCCGTTACATTGTTCTGTTCACCTGCTAGGTTGTTTTTCAATGTTTGAGTTTGCTGCAACTGTCTGCTGCTAGAAAGACATCACCCTCTTGAGATTATTTTAAATCACAGACAGGCGTGTGCCCAAGTTATGACGGCGCTCCTAGTGGCCAGGGATTTTAATGCAGGTAAACTGAAATCCGTTTTACCTTATTTCTACCAGCATGTCACCTGTGCAACTAGAGGGAAAACTCAAGATCAGCTTTACTCCACACACAAAGACTCATACAAAGCTCCTGATTCCTGCTTACAAGCAAAAACTCAAACTGGGATTCTGGGATTCATCCGATGGCATTGAGGAGTATACCACATCAGTCGTCAACTTCATTAATAAGTGCATTGATGATGTTGTCCCAACAGTGACCGTACGTACATATCCCAACCAGAAGCCATGGATTACAGGCAACATCTGCACTGATCTAAAGGCTAGAGCTGCCGCTTTCAAGCAGTGGGACACTAATCCTGGCTACGCCCTCTGAAGAACCAACAAGGAGGCAAAGCGTCAATACACTAAGATCGAATACTACAACACCGGCTCTGATGCTCGTTGGATGTGGCAGGGCTTGCAAACTATCACGGATTACAAAGGGAAACCCGGCCGAGAGCTGCCCTGTAACTCAAAACCAAAATACGAGCTAAATGCCTTCTATGCGCGCTTCGAAGCAAGCAACACTGAACCATGCGTGAGAGCACCGGCTGTGATCATGCTCTCCGTAGCCGACGTGAGTAAGACCTTTTAAACAGGTTAACATTCACAGGGCCAACCGGATTACCAGGACGTGTATTCGGATAATGCGCTGACCAGCTGGCAAGTGTCTTCACTGACATTTTCAACCTCTCCCTGACCCAGTCTGTAAAACCTACTTGTTTCAAGCAGACCACCATAGTCCCTGTGCCCAAGAAAGACAGGTTACATTGGCGAAATTACTATCGCCCTGTAGCACTCACATCTGTAACTATGAAATGCCTCAAAAGGCTGGGCATGGCTCACACATCATCCCAGAAACCCTGAACCCACTTCAATTGGCATACCGCCAAACTGATCTACAGATGCAATCTCTATTGCACTCTACACTGCCCTTTCCCACCTGGAGAAAAGGAACACCAACGTGAGAATGCTGTTCATTGACTACAGGTCAGCATTCAACTCCATAGTGCCCTCCAAGCTCATTGCTAAGGTCAATGGGACTGAACACCTCCCTCTACAACTGGATCCTGTACTTCCTGATGGGCTGCTCCAGCTGGTGAGGATGGGCAACAACACATCCGCCAGACTGACCCTCAACACTGTGGCCCGTCGGGTGCATGCCTAGTCCCCTCATGTACTCCCTGTTCACCCATGACTTTGTGGCTGTGCACAACTCCCAACACCATGTTTGCCGAAAACGCGTTGGCTGTGGGCCTGATCAACAATGACGATGAGACAGCCTATAGGGAGGAGGTCAGAGACCTGGCAGTGTGGTGCCAGGACAACAACCTCTCCCTCAACGTGTTCAAGACAAAAGATGGTTATAGTGGAATACAGGAAAAGGAGGGCCGAACACACCCCCATTCTCATCGACGGGGCTGTAGTGGAGCGGGTCGAGAGCTTCAAGTTCCTCGGCGTCCACATCGCTAAGGCCCTATAATGGTTGTAAAGTGGGCACGACCATGCCTCTTCCCCCTCAGGAGGCTGAAAATGTTGTCATGGGCCGTCAGATCTTAGTTCTACAGCTGCACCATTGAGAGCATCTTGGCTGGCTGCATCACCGTTTGGCATGGCAACTGCTCGGCAAACGAACACAAGGCTCTACAGAGAGTAGTGCGTAGGCCCAGTACATCACTGGGATCAAACTCTGCCATCCAGGACCTCTATACCAGGCGGTGTCAAAGGAAGACTCAAGCCACCGGTATGGCAAATGGTACCGGAGCGTTAAGTCTGTGTCCAAAAGGCACCTGAACTGATTCTACCCCTTAGCCATAAGACTGCTAAATAGTTAACTAAATAGCTATCCAGACTGCATTGACCCTTTTTGCATTAACTCTTTTTGACTGCACACACACTGGACTCTACCCACAACCTACACACACTTCCATACTCATCAAATGCGCTGCTGCTACGTTCTTATCTATCCTGTTGCCTAATCACTTTACCCTTATCTTTTATGTACATACAGTGCATTCGGAAACTATTCAGACCCCTTGACCTTTTCCGCATTTTGTTACGTTACAGATTAAATTGTTATTTTGCCCTACATCTACACACACTACCCCATAATGACAAAGCAAAAAGAGAAAATGTTGCAAATGTATTAAATAAACTGAAATTACATTTGCATAAGTATTCAGACCCTTTACTCTGTACCTTGTTGAAGCACCTTTGGCAGCGATTATAGCCTCGTCTTCTTTGGTATGACACTACAAGCTTGGCACACCTGCATTTGGGGAGTTTCTCCTGTTCTATGCAGATTCTCTCAAGCTCTGTCAGGTTGGATGGGGACCGTCGCTGCACAGCTATTTTCAGGTCTCCGAGATGGTCGATAGGGTTCAAGTCCGGGCTCTGGCTGGGCCACTCAGACATTCAGAGACTTGTCACGAAGCCACTCCTGCGTTGTCTTAGGGTCAATGTCCTGTTGGAAGGTGGCCCTTCGCCCCCAGTCTGAGGTCCTAAGCGCTCTGGAGCAGGTTTTCATAAAGGCCTGGTTGGTGGAGTGCTGCAGAGATAGTTGTCCTTCTGTAAGGTTCTCATCTCCACAGAGGAACTCTGGAGCTCAGTCAGCGTGACAATCGTGTTCTTGGTCACCTCCCTGACCAAGGCCCTTCTCGCCTGATTGTTCAGTTTGGCCGGGCAGCCAGCACTAGGAAGAGTCTTGGTGGTTCCAAACTTCTTCCATTTAAGAATGATGGAAGCCACTGTGTTCTTGGGGACCTTCAATGCTGCATACTTTTTTTGGTACCCTTCCCCAGATCTGTACCTCGACACAATCATGTCTCGGAGCTCTACGGACAATTCCTTTGACCTCTTGGCTTGGTTTCTGCTCTGACATGCACTGTCAACTGAGGGACCTTTATATAGACAGGCGTGTGCCTTTCCAAATCATGTCCAATCAATTTAATTTACCACAGGTGGACTCCAATCAAGTTGTAGAAACATCTCAAGGATGATCAATGGAAACCGGATGTACCTGAGCTCAATTTTGAGTGTCATAGCAATGGGTTTGAATACTTATGTAAATAAGGTATTTTTGTCATTAATGGGAAGTGTGTAGAAGGGGTCTGAATACTTTCCGAATGCGTTGTATAGGCCGGGCTACATGAGGTTGTCATCCTATGATTTGCCTTACTGCACACAAGCTGGGCATCATTCACAAGTCATATCTTTCACAAGTGATGCTAATTAGGCACACATCAGACTAGTCTTGATTTACTCTTGTCTACATATGCTAAATAATGGGACATTTTGTTTTAGAATGGACCTTTTTATCATGCACCTGTCTCGAAGCGGGGGGAAAAATACATGTAATCTATGCACTTAAATAGTGAATGAGGACGCTTTTCCAGTGGTTCATTTTCATGCTAGCCAGGTACGCTATACGCCTGTTGTAAAGAGAAGCAGTGTGCTAAATATTAGGAAAGTTGAGAAGGAAATGTAGTAGTCCTAGCCTGTAGAAAGCTGATGGATCCTCTTTTTTTTAAGAGGCTACCACTGTTTTCTCATGCAATTGCATAGCCTATAGAAATGTTGCGCAGCTCTCATGAAATGTTTGATTAGATTTTCGATTTGCATTGCTGTAAGTGATTAGAGGAACAATTGAGTGCTGCATACCTGGCAGTTAGCAATTTTGGTAGGCTACTAATGACCATAAGCAACATCAGAGCTTGGAGAAGCCTAGTTACCGTTACTAAATGGTCACATGGAATTTGACTGCGGTCATGACTTGTGACTGCCGGTGTGGCGGTAATACAGTCACCGTAACAGCCCTATCTGTGACCAACAGATGCAAGTCTGTATTCCCAGTCATGTGAAATCAAAATATTAGAGCCTAATTAATTTATTTCAATTGACTTATTTCCACAGTCATATAACTCAGAATTTATTTTGGCATGTTTTATTTCTTCTTCTCCCGGTTTATTAAAAAGTTCTAATTTAGCATTATTCTTTACAATTGCGTTGTATTAATTGCGACACTGCAAAGCCGCGTCGCTTCTTGACACACTGCCTGCTTAACCCGGAAACCAGCAGCACCAATATGTCGGAGGAAACACTGTACAACTGGTGACCGAAGTCAGCGTGCATGCGCCTGCCAAAGGAGTCGCTAGAGTGTGACGGGACAAGGACATCCCAGGACAGCCAAACCCTCCCCTAACCCGGACGACGCTAAGCCAATTGTGCGGTGCCTCATGGGTCTCCCGGTCGCGGCCGGCTGCGACACAGCCTGGGATTGAACCCGGGTCTGTAGTGACTCCTCTAGCATTGTGATGCAGTGCCTTAGACTGCTGTGCCACTCGGGAAGCCCAGTGTAAAGAAATTCAAATGCAACAACCGCACACTCAGGTACCGAGAGGTGAGGCAGACAGGAGACTGTCAAATCAGCAGTGTTTCCCTGTCATCGCGCACTTTGACTGACAGGCGCCTGTCCTCTCAATAGATAGCTAGAATTTGCATATCGTTCATTCTAGAGGTAGAAGGCTCTGCAGACTTAACTGACTAGTGAATTGCAAAGTAGCCTACTTAATTTACGTGGAAAAGGTACCCGGTTGAAAACGATTCTGTAATGGACTGTATAGCCGATTGCTGGCTAGTGGAAAACAGTTACACTTCTTCTGATACCTAGGTGGTGTTCAGTTGGCATGAAATGGAAGGAAAAGGGGATGGGCCATCTAAACCTGTCCAATAAGAAACCATTTTGTGTTCGGTTGCTGACCGGTTTGTTATGGTGTGCCATGCTTACCACGACCCTGTTAGTTTTAAATGCCCTTCTCCACCTTTACTTTTCTGTAGGCCCTGTAAGAAGCCGCTGTCCCCCTCCTGTACAGTACAGATGTCTGGGGTTGAGGACAGCCCCATGCCCATTCCCTTGTTGGCCGCAGCCCTCACCACGGACACGCGCAGCCTGCTGCTTGCGTACGGCAACTACCTGCAGCCGGTCATGGAGAGAGTGGTGAGTGGGTCACAGTTCAATTGAATACACACTGTATTCTCCAACACACATTTTATTGTAACCTGTCAAGTAGACCTTTACAGCTGAATGTTGTAGTGCGGGTAGCTTATAAACGGTTTAGTCTTTTTTTAAAGGCCTACTGATATAATAGGCAAGCAATGTTCCCAAATTGAATGTTGTATGTGCTATGGCTTTTCAATGTACAGATCACACTTTAGGAATGTTTTTGCATTGGTTTCAGCAGAGTACTTTACTTTCTACCCAGTTAGAAAATGTGAAAGTTAGAAGAAAAAAAGATATGCGACCGCTGTGTTAATAAGGTGAATTGGTATACCTCAATGACGGAATATTCTGCTAACATGCTACCTGTTGCTGCCTTTAGGCATTAATGAATTCTGTGTTAATCTCAGTAAATGCAGTCAGACGCCATGCACAAGTATCCTTTCACTTCTCCCTTGCCAAGGGCACATGCTGTCCTGCGCCTCACAGTCAAATGATTTATAGCACAGAAGAGAAAATACTACACATTTTTATTATTGTACAGTGCATTCGGAAAGTATTCAGACACATTTACTTTTTCCACATTTTGTTACATTACAACCGTATTCTAAATGAGTTTTTTTTTTTTTGCGCCACAATACCCCATAATGATGAAGCGAAAACACGCTTCATCATTACTTTAAACATTTAAAGACAAGAAAAAAAACGTATTTACATAAGTATTCAAACCATTTGCTATGAGACTAGAAATTGTGCTCCGATGCATCCTGTTTCCATTGATCATCCTTGAGATGTTTCTACAACTTGATTGGAGTCCACCTGTGGTAAATTCAATTAATTTGACATGATTTAGAAAGGCACACACCTACAGTGGGGAAAAAAAGTATTTAGTCAGCCACCAATTGTGCAAGTTCTCCCACTTAAAAGATGAGAGGCCTGTAATTTTCATCATAGGTACATGTCAATTATGACAGACAAATTGAGAAATCCAGAAAATCACATTGTAGGATTTTTTTATGAATTTATTTGCAATTTATGGTGGAAAATAAGTATTTGGTCACCTACAAACATGCAAGATTTCTGGCTCTCACAGACCTGTAACTTCTTCTTTAAGAGGCTCCTCTGTCCTCCACTCGTTACCTGTATTAATGGCACCTGTTTGAACTTGTTATCAGTATAAAAGACACCTGTCCACAACCTCAAACAGTCACACTCCAAACTCCACTATGGCCAAGACCAAAGAGCTGTCAAAGGACACCAGAAACAAAATTGTAGACCTGCACCAGGCTGGGAAGACTGAATCTGCAATAGGTAAGCAGCTTGGTTTGAAGAAATCAACTGTGGGAGCAATTATTAGGAAATGGAAGACATACAAGACCACTGATAATCTCCCTCGATCTGGGGCTCCACGCAAGATCTCACCCCGTGGGGTCAAAATGATCACAAGAACGGTGAGCAAAAATCCCAGAACCACACGGGGGGACCTAGTGAATGACCTGCAGAGAGCTGGGACCAAAGTAACAAAGCCTACCATCAGTAACACACTACGCCGCCAGGGACTCAAATCCTGCAGTGCCAGACGTGTCCCCCTGCTTAAGCCCGTACATGTCCAGGCCCGTCTGAAGTTTGCTAGAGTGCATTTGGATGATCCAGAAGAGGATTGGGAGAATGTCATATGGTCAGATGAAACCAAAATAGAACTTTTTGGTAAAAACTCAACTCGTCGTGTTTGGAGGACAAAGAATGCTGAGTTGCATCCAAAGAACACCATACCTACTGTGAAGCATGGGGGTGGAAACATCATGCTTTGGGGCTGTTTTTCTGCAAAGGGACTAGGACGACTGATCCGTGTAAAGGAAAGAATGAATGGGGCCATGTATCGTGAGATTTTGAGTGAAAACCTCCTTCCATCAGCAAGGGCATTGAAGATGAAACGTGGCTGGGTCTTTCAGCATGACAATGATCCCAAACACACCGCCCGGGCAACGAAGGAGTGGCTTCGTAAGAAGCATTTCAAGGTCCTGGAGTAACCTAGCCAGTCTCCAGATCTCAACCCCATAGAAAATCTTTGGAGGGAGTTGAAAGTCTGTGTTGCCCCGCGACAGCCCCAAAACATCACTGCTCTAGAGGAGAACTGCATGGAGGAATGGGCCAAAATACCAGCAACAGTGTGTTAAAACCTTGTGAAGACTTACAGAAATCGTTTGACCTGTGTTATTGACCAAATACTTATTTTCCACCATAATTTGCAAATAAATTCATTAAAAATCCTACAATGTGAATTTCAGGATTTTTTTTCCCTCATTTTGTCTGTCATAGTTGACGTGTACCTATGATAAATTACAGGCCTCATCTTTTTAAGTGGGAGAACTTGCACAATTGGTGGCTGACAAATACTTTTTTCCCCCACTGTATATAAGGTCCCACAGTTGACAGTGCATGTCAGAGCAAAATCCAAGCCATGAGGTCAAAGGAATTGTCCGTGGAGCTCCGAGACAGCATTGTGTCGAGGAAAATCTGGGTAAGGGTACCAAAAAACAAGATTCTCTGGTCTGATGAAACAAAGATTGAACTCTTTTGCCTGAATTCCAAGCGTCACGTCACCATCCGTACGGTGAAGCATGGTTGTGGCAGCAGCATGCTGTGGGGATGTCTTTCAGCGGCAGGGAATGGGAGACTAGTCAGGATCGAGGGAAAGATGAACGGAGCGAAGTACAGAGATCCTTGATGAAAACCTGCTCAGGACCTCAGACTGGGGCTAAGGTTCACCTTCCAACAGGACAACGACCCTAAGCACACAGCCAAGACAACGCAGGAGTGGCTTCGGGACAAGCCTCTGAATGTCCTTGAGTGGCCCAGCCAGAGCCCGGACTTGAACTCGATCGAACATCTCTGGAGATACCTGAAAATAGCAGCAACGCTCCCCATCCAATATGACAGAGCTTGAGAGGATCTGCAGAGATGAATGGGATCAAATACAGGTGTGCCAAGCTTTTAGTGTCATACCCAAGAAGACTCAAGGCTGTAATCGCTGCCAAAGGTGCTAAACATGTGAAGAGTTTAAAAAAACAAACTATTATCCATTTTAGAATAAGGCTGTAACGTAACAATGTGGAAAGTCAAGGGGCCTGAATACTTTCCGAATGCACTGTGTATGTATACAGTGAGGGGGGAAAAGTATTTGATCCCTTGCTGATTTTGTACGTTTGCCCACTGACAAAGAAATGATCGTCTATAATTTTAATGATAGGTTTATTTGAACAGTGAGACAGAATAACAAAAAATATCGAGAAAAAATGTTATTAAAATGCAAATCAATTTATAACAATTTATGAGGGAAATAAGTATTTCACCCCCCTCAATCAGATTTCTGGCTCCCAGAAATTTCACGCTCTTAAAGGGAGTGCTCTTTATCTCAGCTTGTTACCTGTATAAAAGACACCTGTCCACAGAAGCAATCAATCAGATTCCAAACTCTCCACCATGGCCAAGACCAAAGAGCTCTCCAAGGATGTCAGGGACAAGGCTGGAATGGGCTACAAGACCATCGCCAAGCAGCTTGGTGAGAAGGTGACAACAGTTGGTGCGATTATTCTCAAATGGAAGAAACACAAAAGACCTGTCAATCTCCCTCGGCCTGGGGCTCCATGCAAGATCTCACCTCGTGGAGTTGCAATGATCATGAGAACGGTGAGGAATCAGCCCAGAACTACACGGGAGGATCTTGTCAATGATCTCAAGGCAGCTGGGACCATAGTCACCAAGAAAACAATTGGTAACACACTACGCCGTGAAGGACTGAAATCCTGCAGCGCCCGCAAGGTCCCCCTGCTCAAGAAAGCACACATACATGCCCGTCTGAAGTTTGCCAATGAACATCTGAATGATTCAGAGGATAACTGGGTGAAAGTGTTGTGGTCAGATGAGACCAAAATGGAGCTCTTTGGCATCAACTCAACTCGCCGTGTTTGGAGGAGGAGGAATGCTGCCTATGACCCCGAGAACACCATCCCCACCGTCAAACATGGAGGTGGAAACATTATGCTTTTGGGGGTGTTTTTCTGCTAAGGGGACAGGACAACTTCACCACATCAAAGGGACGATGGACGGGGCCATGTACCGTCAAATCTTGCGTGAGAACCTCCTTCCCTCAGCCAGGGCATTGAAAATGGGTCGTGGATGGGTATTCCAGCATGACAATGACCCAAAACACACGACCAAGGCAACAAAGGAGTGGCTCAAGAAGCACATTAAGGTCCTGTAGTGGCCTAGCCAGTCTCCAGACCTTAATCTCATAGAAAATCTGTGGAGGGAGCCGAAGGTTCGAGTTGCCAAACGTCAGCCTCAACCTTAATGACTTGTAGAAGATCTGCAAAGAGGAGTGGGACAAAATCCCTCCTGAGATGTGTGCAAACCTGGTGGCCAACTACAAGAAACGTCTGACCTCTGTGATTGCCAACAAGGGTTTTGCCACCAAGTACTAAGTCATGTTTTGCAGAGGGGTCAAATACTTATTTCCCTCATTTAAAATGCAAATCAATTTATAACATTTTTGACATGCGTTTTTCTGGATTTTGTTATGGTCTCTCACTGTTCAAATAATCCTACCATTTAAAATTATAGACTGATCATGTCTTTGTCAAAGGGCAAACATACAAAATCAGCAGGGGGTCAAATACTTTCTTCCCTTATGTGTGTATGTATATGTTACTAACCATTTGTCTCCCATATAGGAAGTGAACACAGCAGAGAGACATGTGTGCCTGACCCGCGATGTCCACACCACCATCTCCCTCTCCATGGAAGCCACTGTTTCCAAGGTAAGGCCCGACGGATGCCATTTTGGTATTTTGCGCTGTTCTAAATGGCATTGGCTTATTTCTGGTATGTTGCTCAATTAACTTACTGAACATGTCCAAGCATGAATTTGTCTGTCCATATTTTTCTTTCAACATTATGTTTTAATGAATAAATGGGTCCTTTGAAATGGTGGTGTTTTGATAGGTAAAAATTGGAGAACAGTCAGAAATAACTATACTGAACAAAAATATAAACGCAACATGTAAAGTGTTTCATGATAATCCAGCCACCTGACAAGTGTGGGTTATCAAGAAGCTGATTTAAACGGCATGATCATTACAAAGGTGCACCTTGTGCTGGGGAAACTATGCCACTCTAAAATGTTCAGTTGTCTCACAACGCAATGCCACAGATGTCTAACATTTTGAGGGAGCGTGCAATTACATGCTGACTGCAGGAATATCCACCAGAACTGTTGCAGAGAATCGAATGTTCATTTCTCTACCATAAGCCTCCTCCAACGTCGTTTTAGAGAATTTGGCAGTACGTCAAACCGGCCTCACAACCGCAGACCATGTGTATGGCGTTGTGTGGGCGAGAAGTTTGCTGATATCAACGCTGTGAACAGAGTGCCCCATGGTCGGGGTATGGGGAAGGCATAAGCTACAGACAACTAACACAATTGCATTTTATCAATGGCAATTTGAATGCACAGAGATACCGTGACAAATGATGGTCACAATAGATACTGGCAGGTTTTCTGATCAACCACTTTTTTTTTTCTAAAGGTATCTGTGATAAAAAGATGCATATCTGTATTCCCAGTTGTGAAATCCATAGATTAGTGCTTAATACATTTTATTTCAAGTTGACTGATTTCCTTATGAACTGTAACTCAGTAATATCTTTGAAATTGTTGAGTGTTGCCCTGTATATTTTTGTTCAGTATACATACTCTTGTCTTTCAGGTGAAAACCCCAGTAGTTAACGCCAAGAGCAAAGTTCTAGTCCCTGGTCTTCCCGGTCACCAAGCGCCGGTCAAAGCATCCTTGGGATCCGAGAAGAGGAAAAAGGGCACAGACACCAAAGAGGTATGTCGACAAAATTGTTGTACATAAACCTTGACTAAAACCGTCAAGGCCTTTCAATGTTCAACACAACCTCCAGATAGTGTTTGTTGCACAAAAATACATATATTCAACCTGCCCCTCTCAATTCTGTTGGCGTTTGCAATAAAAACCTTTTGGAAACTCAGAACATAAATCTTGTGTAATTGTATCGGATGCTCGACTAAGTTCTCGGGGCAGACCTGTTACAGAAGATGTTAGAATGAGGAGAGTTTTATTTATATTTTTTTACTGAACATTGTGCAAATGTCAGCAACATGCTGAATTGTGAGTAACTTACAGTTAAATATAAAAAATGGCAATACAAACTAAAATACAATAAACAATATCGGCCAAAAGACCCATTCTGAAATTTGAAAGATGCAAACACCTGCAAAATCGTGATATGTGATCAGTGACGATCTGCGCACCAGAACAAAGTTCATCATTAGTCGTTGCATCCCAGAGTCTGACAGACGCTATGATACCAGTTACATTAGGTGCGTCTGTCCATGAGAGATTAGATTTTAAGCGATGACCTGACGGTGTTTCACTCAGCAATATGTTTAAATAATCATATGTACCATTTAGCAGACGCTTTTAACCAAAATGTAGTCATGCGTGCATACAACTTATGAATGGGAGTTCCTGGGAATCAAACCCACTATCCTGGCTTTGCAAGCAATGTTCCCTCATTTTTTTTCTGCTGACCACAAACTTTAACGCTGTGAACATTTCTGCCTACAGCAATCTTTTGCATAGTTTGTTTTGTTTCGGTATGTTTAATTGAAAGTGGCTAATATTGTGTTGACTCGATCATATATCCCATAGTAAAGGGAAACGTAGTGTTAACTGAGGGGAAACTCTGAACGTCACTCAACTTTCTAATCTCGTGCTTCTCTGTGCGGGCTGATATTTATTCTGCGCGGAAGTCCCAGGGGAGCTGCACGCCCCGCGCACAGTTTAGAGGGAACATTGGTTGCAAGCGCTATGCTCGAATAACTGAGCTACAGAGGACATGTTGCTGCCATTAGGCATGGATGAATTCTGTGTTACTCTGTCAGTAGTAAATACAGTCAGACACCATGCAAAAGTATCCTTTCACTCCTCCCTTACTAAGGGCGAGTGCTGTCCTGTGTCTTACCCAGTCAACGGAGGAGTGAATACATTATAGCACAGCAAATAAAATACTATATAGCCCTGTATCTCTTAGCATCAAACTGCTAGTGTGTTGCCTCCGTCATTTACTTCACTGTTAACCCTTCCACTGCTACTCAACCTTTTTTCCTCTCCAGATGTCAATAGAGGAGCGACTGGGAGAGATCGACTTGTCACTTGAGAAGGGGGGCGTCAAGGGAGCCCCCTCTCTGCAGACGGACAACTTTGCGGTGCTTTTGGTGCAGGGTCTGGAGAGCAAGGACGCCAACATCCTCAATGTGAGTGGACCCTTTTATTTGTGAATATATGGCCTCCGATATGCCAAGATAAGGCACGAGCAACATACACCGCAACACGATCCCTGTGGTGTTCATCAAAATTAATGATTTTCCTGATTTGGGTGTTCGTAATATCAAAAGGCTCCAGTGATCATGTGATGTCGAAACAACATTTTTTCACTATAGTATTGATTGTTAATGCTTGATGTGAATGCTTTGGGGTCTTAAGGAAAAGGATGTACATGAGTACATGGCACTATTTACCTCTGTCAATTCCCTCAGTTTAGAGGTGGCATAGACGGTTTGGTTGTTCAGCAACAAAACCGACGCGTGCGTAACTATGGGGAAAAATAGATTGACAACATGTAAACTACAGTGCGTTTGGACCCCCTGACATTTCCCACATTTTGTTACGTTACAGCCATATTCTAAAATGGAATATATATTATTTTTTTCATCAACACACAATACCCCATAATGACAAAGCAAAAACAGGTTTTTAGACATTTTTGCAAATTTATAAAAAAATAAGGAACTGAAAAAGTATTCAGACCCTTCACTCTGTACTTTGTTGAAGCACCTTTTGCAGCGATTACAGCCTTGAGTCTTCTTGGGTATGACGCTACAAGCTTGGCACACCTGTATATTTCTCCCAATCTTATCTGCAGATCCCCTCAAGCTCTGTCATGTTGGATGGGGAGTGTCGCTGCACAGCTATTTTCAGGTCTCTCCAGAGATGTTTGATCGAGTTCAAGTCTGGGCTCTGGCTGTGCCGCTCGAGGACGTTCCGAGACTTGTCCCGAGGCCAATCCTGCTTTGTCTTGGCTATGTGCTTAGGGTCGTTGTCCTGTTAGAAGGTGAACCTTCACCCCAGTCTGAGGTCCTGAGCGCTTGGAAGCAGGTTTTCATCAAAGATCTCTCTGTACTTTGCTCTGTTCATCTTTCCCTTGATCCTGACTAGTCTTTCAGTCCCTGCCGCTGAAAAACATCCCCATAGCATGATGCTGCCACCACCATGCTTCAACGTAGGGATGGTGTTGGCCAGTTGCTATTTTATTTAACCTTTATTTAACTAGGCAAGTCAGTATAGAAAAAAATATTATTTACAATGACTGCCTACACCGGCCAAATCCGGACGACGCTGGGCCAATTGTGCGCCGCCCTATGGGACTCCCAATCACGGCCGGTTGTGATACAGCCTGGAATCGAACCAGGGGGTCTGTAGTGACGCCTCAAGCACTGAGATGCAGTGCCTTTAAAACGCTGCGCCACTCGGGAGCCCAGGTTATAAGCGGTACCTGGTTTTCTCCAGATGTAACACTTGGCATTCAGGTGAAAGTTTAAACTTGATTTAATCAGACCAGACAATCCTATAGGTGCCTTTTAGCGCACTCCAAGCGGGCAGTCTTGTGCCTTTTACTGGAGTGGCTCCCGTCTGGCCACTCTACCATAAAGGCCTGATTGGTGGAGTGCTGAAGACATGGTTGTCCTTCTGGAAGGTTCTCCCATCTCCACAGAGGAACTCTGGAGCTCTGTCAGAGTGACCATCGGGTTCTTGGTCACCTCCCTGACCAAGGCCATTCTTCCCCGATTGCTCAGTTTGGCCGGGTGGCCAGCTCCTGGAACAGTCTTGGTGGTTCCAAACTTCTTCCATTTAAGAATGATGGAGGCCACTGTGCTGTTGGGGACCTTCAATGCTGCAGAAATGTTTTGGTGCCCTCTACGGACAATTCCTTCGACCTCATGGCCTGGTTTTTGCTCTTGACATGCACTGTCAACTGTGGGACCTTATATAGACAGGTGTGTGTCTTTCCAAATCATGTACAATCAATTTAATTTACCACAGGTGGACTCCAATGAAGTTGTAGAAACATCTCAATGATGATCAACTTAAAAAGGATGCAGCTGAGCTCAATTTCGTAACAAGATGAAACTTGCTGAAATGAGCCACCTACGATTCCACACATTGCAGCTTCTTGTCATTGTTGCTAGTGAGGGTGTGATGTTTAAACTAATTTGGGGTCATAAAAAAAATCCTAACCGAAAAGCTTTTTCGAAATCGCAGTACAGTTAACCCAAAACTACCACTAACATAGCGTTTCCCAAACTCTGTCCTGGGGACCCCAAGGGGTGCACGTTTTAGTTTATGCCTTAGCACTATACAGCTGATTCAAATGATCATCGCTGGATGATGAGTTCATTATTTTAATCAGCTGAGTAGTGCCAATGTAAAAACCAAAACGTTGCAACCTTTGGGGTCACTAGAACTGCGTTTGGGGAACGCTGCACTAACAGGTCCCCATCCTAATAATGGCACAACAATTTTCACTAATACGTAACCAACAATGCTGTAAGGAGGAGATGTGCGTCTTTAAAATAGTTTGTCACGGATATAAAGCTCTCCGCACGTCTTCGTCGTGAAGTTGGAAAAACGGCAGTGTGACAGAAGCAATGTCCTTTATGGCAATACTTTAATTTAAAAAAGCAAACTTTGCGAGGTGGAAATGAGCTACAGTGGCAGTAAGTATGCTGAAAGGGAGGCACCGTGAGACCAAACCCATTGCTGACAGAAGGGACTGAGTGAGAAAATCACAGCGCTGATTACAGAAATAAGTGCAGTTGATATACAGTATTTGTCAATGGTAGAGGATGTCCGCGTCAATAACCTAATGGTATATCTAGAACCTAACTACAAGATGCCATATCGATAAACAGTGATGGCCCTGATGGAGAAATTGTACAATGATTGCTCTGCAAGTACAAAGCGCAAGCTCTTAAAAACCATACTTGGTGATAACACATTGTTGGACATTGATGAATATGCCGACTTGTATCACTGCAGCGAGCCATCACATTGATAAGAAGTGGGACATGAAGTCACATTTACTGAGAACATCAAGGAGAGGCACACAACCTAAAATGACTATACCATTTGTTAGAGTGGGTGGGGGACAGCAGTAAAGTGAGCGCACCTGGTAGGTAGCCAAGACTGCGGTAGATTGAACTGCATTGCCCCCTAGGGGTCATATGCAGGACCATATCTGAATTGTGAATGCACATTTTATAAAATTATTTAAAAAATAATAATAACAAAAATGGCAGTTTAAACATTGAGAATCTTTGCATTTGTTACATCCCTAGTTGCTATCTGATGTTCAGAATCTTAAATCACGGCTTCCGCCCCCATCGATGGGCGTGCATCATTTTCATGACGTTGTCAACCAACCAGTCTTGAGATCCTTGTTTTATTTCTATCTTATTGTGTGAAGGTAAATTGGTTATAGAGTTTATTGGTCAGTGAGATCCCTGACCGTTCCGCCTCTTATTGTCAGTGACATCCATTTACAATTGCCGTACTTGATAGCACTTCCAACTTCTGGTTTCTCTGACATCTATTCTCTGATGTTGATCTCTCCTCCGCCCCACAGAATGTGTTTCAGACCCGGAAGGACATCTTAATAAAGAAAACCGTTTCCCGGTTACCTATCCCTGCTGTCTTGCCATTGGTGGAAGAGATCACCAAGAGAATGCAAGGGCATCCTTACACGTAAGTGAACACCCCAGAATCGGTTTTCATATCAGATATGATCAGATCTTGATTATATTGCATTCTCATTGATGCTAGACGAAGACCATATAAATTGTGCCGTTAAAATCTGTATTTATGTTTTAGTAGGCGTTCTTAACCAGAGCGATTTACAGGCGCAATTAGGGTTAAGTGCCTTGCTCAATGGCACGTCGGCATATTTTTATCCTAGTCCGTTCAGGGATTGGAACCAGCAAACTTTCGATTACTGGCCCAACGCTCTTAACCGCTAGGCTACCTGCAAATCAGGATTTTGTCTGTAATATCCATGTGTTCAGTACCACCTTGGTAACTAAGCATCTATATTCCCCTTGGGTTGTTTTTAGTTAAATCCAGCGGGCATCATTCCTAAACCCTTCACCCTGATATTGTTGCCCAAAGGGAACCTAATTGCACCCCCACTCAACTAGTCTCTCCTCTTCCCATTTGTCCTACAGGGCAGTGCTGATGGTGCGATGGCTCAAGGCTGTTCTCATGCAGCACACCTCTTACCTATCCTCGGTGAGTCTATCCCTGGGTGTCTTCAGCTAGCTTCAAGCCCAAAACATGGTTTGTTCTGGGGAATGTATAACGGCAATACGGTTACGCTCTGCTAACCATTAGCTCACAAACTTTTGTAGAGTTAAGTTTTGTTTTTGTTTATTCAACAGTATACACTTATACACTCAGATTGTTATTGACACAGGACCAATGTTTTTACTTCCTCAAAACGAGGAGTGGTTATTTTTAAAAATATTGATCTATGTATGTGTTCTTTCCCCGTACCAGTTGCCAGACCTGGTGTCTCAGCTGGGAGTGCTGTACCACATGATCGAAAGCAGAGTCAAAATGTTCCACAAACTGACCAAGCTGCACGGCAAGCTCTATCTGCTCATGACACAGGTACGTCTTGGTACTCGTAGTGTAATGTTAGTTTTTTTTACTTCACAGTTAATACCAGTGCTACTCCCAAAAACTACATTGGGGACAGGGTCCGGAACAAACTTAAGCTGTGTTCGAATACCCATACTAACATACTGTATATTACATACATAATGAGTGTATATACTACATACTATAAGTCAATTTTAGTATACTGTAAACTAATGGTATGCTTTCAGTTGAGTGTTGTAGCGCTTCGCCTGTCTACCAGAAGTTGATGCTGTTGCTATGCAACTTCTTGCTCGCTTGTTAGCAAATTACTAGCTAGACGTCTTAAGACTTCATTAGCAATGTCCATTGAGAATGCACAACGACTATACCACTTAGGTAAGCAAAGAATAATCAAGTCAACAAATGTTGGGTTGTTAGTTAGATGGCATATAATTAATATACTGGGAAGTTCGCTGTATTAATAGTCAACTAACGTTAGGTAGCTAAAATACCGGTACATACAAGCAATTGCTGTAATGATATGCTATGCGGTTCGTAAGGCTAGCGCAGCTAACAATTTGTCAGCCAATGTAACTTAAAGTAATTACTTTAATACATTGCTCAACATTTTAACATTTTTCATAATTAGTTAAAGCAATGAATTTGTATCCGCTCTCGATTGAGTATGGCTGCAAATATTCCGCCATTTTCTTCAAATCTGAAAATTGTGAAGCCACACCCATTTTCTGAAGAATTGCATTATGGGCCCCAAAAGCACGGAAATAGTGTCCACTGCTTGTATACTTCGTATTTTGGCGAATGTTGTACGACATCCGGGAACTTTTGGCAAACTAACTACAGTACCAGTCAAAAGTTTGGAAACTTGCTCATTCAAGGGTTTTCCTTTATTTTTACTATTTTCTACATTATAGAATAATAGTGAAGACATCAACTATGAAATGACACATTTGGATTCATGTAGTAACCAAAAAAGTGTTAGAATATAAAATATATTTTGATTTGTTTAAGTAGCCAGCCTTTGCCTTGACAGCTTTGCACACCCTTGGCATTCTCTCAACCAGCTTCACCTGGAATGCTTTTTCAACAGTCATGAAGGAGTTCCCACATCTGCTGAGCACTTGTTGGCTGCTTTTCCTTCACTCTGCGGTCCAACTCATCCCAAACCATCTCAATTGGGTAGAGGTTGGGTGATTGTGGAGGCCAGGTAATCTGATGCACCACTCCATCACTCTCCTTCTTGGTCAAATAGCCCTTACACAGCCTGGAGGTGTATTGGGTCATTGTCCTGTTGAAAAACAAATCATAATCCCACTAAGCCCAAACCAGATGGGATGGCGTATCGCTGCAGAATGCTGTGGTAGCCATGCTGGTTAAGTGTGCCTTGAATTCTAAATAAGTCACTGACAGTGTCACCAGCAAAGCACCATCACACCACCACCTCCATGCTTCATGGTGGGAACCACACATGCGGAGATCATCCGTTCACCTACTCTGCGTCTCACAAGGACATGGCGGTTGGAACCAAAAATCTCAAATGTGGCTTGATCTGACAAAAGGACAGATTTCCACCTGTCTAATGTCCATTGCTCGTGTTTCTTGGCTCAAGCAAGTCTTCTTATTGGTGTCTTTTAGTAGTGGTTTCTTTGCAGCAATTTGACCATGTAGGCCTGATTCACAGTCCCCTCTGAACAGTTGATGTTGATATGTCTTATTTTAACTCTGAATCATATATTTGGGCTGCAATTTCTGATGCTGGTAGCTCTAATGAACTTATCCTCTTTAGCAGAGGTAACTCTGGGTCTTCCTTTCTTGTGGCGGTCCTCATGAGAGCCAGTTTAATCATGGCGCTTGATGGTTTTTGAGGCGGATTGACTGACCTTCATGTCTTTAAAGTAATGGACTGTCATTTCTCTTTGCTTATTTGAGCTGTTCTTGCCATAATATGGACTTGGTCTTTTACCAAATAGGGCTATCTTCTGTATACCTCCCCTACCTTGTCACAACACAACTGATTGGTTCAAACGCATTAAGAAGGAAAGAAATTCCACAAATTAACTTTTAACATGGCACACCTGTTAATTGAAATGCGTTCCAGGTGACTACCTCATGAAGCTGGTTGAGTGTCAAGAGTGGGCAAAGCTGTCAAAGCAAAGGGTGGCTACTTTGAAGAAATATAAAATATATTTGTATTTGTTTAACACTTGTCTGGTTACTACACGATTCCATATGTGTTAGTTCATAGTTTTGATGTCTTCACTATTATTCTACAAAGTAAAAATAAAGAAAAACCCTGGATTGAGTGTGTCCAGGCCTTTGACTGGTACTGTATATTCATACTATGACCAATAAGCATACTAGATACTCATTTTACGTTACAAATAGTGTGGTTAGTATGAGTATTCAAACACAGCTCTAGTCTACTAGTCAAGGGCTTGATGATAGGTTGACTAGTTGAATATAATATGTTCGCACTACAATAGCTCAAATAACTTAAACTGGCTAGGGTGCTCGGAGAGGTTTGGGAAACATCTTGAGATGGATAAGACAGTGATGCCACTTCTACCCTGTATCGAAAGTGACTGGCCTTTTTGGTGGCCAGGTCATTGATGGTACAGTAGCAGTGAAATGAGAGCCTTTCGATGGTCACTCTGTCCTTACTGAACCCTGGTTCTCTCATGCATAAACATATTGTTGAAGATATTTAAGGATTTTTCTAGTTTATTGGACAGACTGCAGCACCTGACTGCATGTGCTGCCATAGAAATAATTAATAGAACGGGTGTTTCCATTCAAGCCAATGATGACATAATGGGTGGGCTGGTGGAAATTGCGAGTGTACCCATAAGAGCATAGCAGGAAGTAAAATACAGTGCATTCAGAAGGTATTCAGACCCCTTCACCTTTGCCACATTTAGTTACATTACAGCCTTATTCTAAAAATGGATTACATTTATTTGTTTCCTCTGCAATCTACACACAATACCCCATAATGACAGTGAAAAAGGTTTTTATAAATGTTTGCAATTTTATAATCAGACCCATTGCTATCAGACTAAATTGAGCTCCGGTGCATCCTGTTTCCGTTGATCATCCTTCAAATGTTTGTACAACTTGATTGGAGTCCACCTTTGGTAAATTGATTGGACATGATTTGGAAAGGTGCACACCTGTCTATAAGGTCCCTCAGTTGACAGTGCATGTCAGAGCAAAAACCAAGCCATGAGGTTGAAGGAATTATCCGTAATGCTCCGAGACAGGATTGTGTCGAGGCACAGATCTGGGGAAGGGTACCAAAACATTTCTGCAGCATTGAAGGTCCCCAAGAACACAGTGGCCTCCTCCATTCTTAAGTGGAAGAAGCTTGGAACCACCAAGACTGTTCGTAGAGCTGGTCGCCCGGCCAAACTGAGCAATCGGGGGTGAAGGGCCTTGGTCAGGGAGGTGACCAAGAACCCGATGGTCACTCTGACAGAGCTCCAGAGTTCCTCTGTGGAGATGGGAGAACCTTCCAGAAGGACAACCATCTCTGCAGCACTCCACCAATCAGGCCTTTATTGTAGAGTGGCCAGAAGGAAGTCACTCAATAAAAGGCACATGACAGCCCGCTTGGAGTTTGCCAAAAGGCACCTAATAGACTCTCGGAACATCAGAAACATCTACCTTATGAAACCAAGATTTAACTCTTTGGCCTGAATGCCAAGTGTCACGTCTGGAGGAAACCTGGCACCATCCCTACGGTGAAGCATGGTTGTGGCAGCATCATGCTGTGGGGATGACTGAGCTTGAGAGGATCTGCGGTGAAGAATGGGAGGAACTCCCCAAATACAGGTGTACCAAGGTTGTAGCGTCATACCCAAGAAGACTCAAGGCTGTAATCGCTGTCAAAGGTGTTTCAACAAAGTACTGAGGAAAGGGTCTGAATACTTGTGTAAATGTGGTGTTTTTCGGGGGGTTTTAAATACATTGACAACATTTTCTAGCCCTTTTTTTGTTTTGTCATTATGGGGTGTTGTGTGTTGATTGATGGAAAAAACTATTTAATCCATTTTAGAATAAGGCTCTAACGTAACAAAGTGGAAAAAGTAAAGTGGTCTGAATACTTTCTGAATGCACTGTGTTAAAATATATATGCTGTGTTTTGTTGATTCAACTCAACTGACATTACAAAAAAGGCATTCCATTGCCACATCAGTTAACATCATTTGAATGAACATTCTACATTACCATGAAAGATTGCATCACAATACCAGGCAGCCATTGCTAGTGTACCCATGATTTGACCAGTCAACTACCAGGGTTAGAGGTTCCAAACCTGTTCTATTTCTGTGTGCTGCTGCATTGTTGCCAAGGCCAGTGTTTCCCATGACTATCAGCAGTCCTGTGCTCAACATGACAATGCCGTCATTGGACAAATGAAACTGTCCATTCAGCTTTTCCCCCACCTGTGGCAACTGCTGTCTCCTAAAGCGTTTTTCTCTCTCGCCAGGTGGTGAAAGGTGACAGTGGTAACACAGACGTGGACCACAAGGCCAAGCTTGTCTACGAGGAGGGTAAGGGCACACTGTTCACTTTTTTCTTTTTATACCTTTATCACTGTCAATTAAGCAAAATATGTAAAAAGGATACAATGTTTTGAAAACAGGATAAGCAGGATAGCAATGGGGGGCGGGGGGTCTCTTACAATTTGCATTCCAGCAGATTTGCATACCCTGAGTTACACTTGCCGATGTGCTGAACGGCAGGCCAAAACACGACTGCCTCTCTTGCTGGGCAACCAGCGAACAGCGATGGTACACAGTTACACTCATTACAGCACTGTATAAAATGCTTTCTTGAACCGCATAAGAAATTGGCTTTTGATTAAATAATTAGGGCCGGTAGCTAGTTCCTATTAGGGCTGGGGGATATGACCAAATTATCACTAAATGTTTTAAAGTTTGGACGGTGTTTAACAGTTTTATGTTTCTGAATAATACATGTTCTAATTATGGTTAATGAGTAGTAGGCTTGGGAGGTATACTGTATATACCGGGGTATTTGGAAATAGCCACGGGATGGTTTTTCAATACATTTTAATATTTGTAGGAACTTTTTAAGTAAATACCTGCCGACAACTTGAGCGGTACGTTAGGAGCTAAAGCAGATCGCGTTCATTTCACGTCACATTATTTTACATTCTGAAGCTTACCATAGTTCCCCAGAACAGTTGAGCCAGTCAGGTGTTTTAAATAGCACAATGGGGAAAGCGGGAGCAGCTGAGTCCAGCTGTTTGACAGTTTTTTTTGTTTTGTTGCTTCAATAGTGATCTGGGACGTGCAACTATAGTTTTCCGTCACAGAAAATACATTAGTGCAACACATTCGCTACAGGGAGACAGGACGGACAGCTGATTGTCCTCGCAGTGGCAAACCACGTGTAACACCTGCACAGGATCGATACATCCGAACATCACACCTGCGGGACAGGTACAGGATGGCAACAACTGCCCGAGTTACACCAGGAACGCGCAATCCCTCCATCAGTGCTCAGACTGTCCACAATAGGCTGAGAGAGGCTGGACTGAGGGCTTGTAGGCCTGTTGTAAGGCAGGTCCTCACCAGACCTCACCGGCACCAACGTCGCCTATGGGCACAAACCCACCGTCGCTGGACCAGACAGGACTGGCAAAAAGTGCTCTTCACTGACGAGTCGCGGTTTTGTCTCACCAGGGGTGATGGTCGGATTTGCGTTTATCGTCGAAGGAATGAGCTGTACACCGAGGCCTGTACTCTGGAGTGGCATCGAGGTGGAGGGTCTGGGGCGGTGTGTCACAGCATCATCGGACTGAGCTTGTTGTCATTGCAGGCAATCAACGCTGTGCGTTACAGGGAAGACATCCTCCTCATCCTGACATGACCCTCCAGCATGACAATGCCACCAGCCATACTGCTCGTTCTGTGCGTGATTTCTTGCAAGACAGGAATGTCAGTGTTCTGCCATGGCCAGCGAAGAGCCCGGATCTCAATCCCATTGAGCACGTCTGGGACCTGTTGGATCGGAGGGTGAGGGCTAGGGCCATTCCCCCCAGAAATGTCTGGGAACTTGCAGGTGCCTTGGTGGAAGAGTGGGGTAACATCTCACAGCAAGAACTGGCAAATCTGGTAGAGTCCATGAGGAGTTTCACAGGGTTGTTAGCCCCTTTGATGTTCCACGAAATGTACTTGATGGTATTATTCCGGCCACCCTGACCACTCCGTTTATACAACCCTGTCATTAGAGAATAGAGTGGAAAAGCAATGAATATCCAAAAAACCCAGGATAACCTGTCTGAGTAATACTGTACTCCCCCACCCCAGACAATACCTCCCCAAATGAGGTACAAGCCTAAATAGAACATGTTTTCTTTGCACAGTTTGTCTGTGAGAGTGCGGTGTTAAACCCAGAGATGCCCTTTAAAGTAGAGTTCTGTGTTAGTGAATCAAGCAGCAAAAAAATTGAAAATTAAAAGTGAAACCCATGTGCAAACGAAATTAGAAAAGCACCATGTGTAGATGTATAAAATTATATTCCCAGTCTTATAACATGTATTGAGGTAGAAAATAAATAACATTTATCAAGGCTCTCAGCCAAAAAACTCTCATTTGAAGTAAGCAAATCGTAGTAAAATGACCCCCCCCCAAAAAAAAAGAAACATCTAGTTGGACGATGTGACAACGTACAGCCAAGACCACAAAACGACGTCTGTGCAACTTTGAACGTTTGCTGGGTATAAATGATGTTCAAAATATTGGAAGTGAAGACGTGGAGCCTTGGAACATTTACTGTTTGCTGGGTCAAGACAAACAGATGCGGTAAACAAATAACCACTTATTTTTGGGTCAATAAGATGATGTAAACAAACTCAATAGGTCAATGAGACAGCATGGAAAACAAAGGAATTACGTAAACCCTTAATAAAATAAAAAATGACAATGCTTTTAAGGCAGGCACACTAGATGATCAAAACATTTGATCACATCAAATAAGGCTGAGTGGGTTTTCCAACTCCTGAACTATACCGGAATAGTGCAGTTATAACTAAACATAGTTATACCACATGTGGGCTACTTACTTACTATCCACAGTTAGCAAGCAACAGTTGCTGATCTATGAGCAAGTTCAAGACTTCTTGATGTGGCGTTGAATGTGAGCCATAGCCATCTTCTCATGGAAAAAGTGCACTCGACGAATGTCACGGGGCCTCTCACCGTCCCGGGGCTTTGGGCGCAGTGACCGGTGGGCACAATCAGGGGCTTCTCATCCATGGCGAGAACATCCTTCAGCAGGCTGGAGACTAAATCCGTGGCGCGTGACATTTCCGCTGACTCTGGGACAGATACCAGTCTCAGGTTATTGCGGCAAGAAAATCCCTCTAAGCTCACACAGCTCTCCTGTACCTTTTTTTCTGATCCGCAGCAGCCCCCCTGGTAAAGTGCGCGTCCTCGGGCTCTCCGTCTCAGAGCGGTGATAAAAATGGGTCTTGTATGCCGGGTTTTCTCATTTGTGTTTTTGGCCTTATGTTTCGTCGACATGCTGACATTTGAAAGCAAAGTAGTCTTGGGTATTACGGAAAGGGATCACCAAACGAATATTTGAGAATAAATACAGTTTTGCTGCAAAATTCACAAACTTTAAGAATACTGCGGGAGCAAATGGAAAACACGTCAGTCGCACATTGCGGCCCCCCTGCGAATTAACTTTTGAAATGAAAAGTAGCTTAGTTAATATGAAGTGGAAAAAGTAGCCGGCTGAAAATGTGTCTTAACAGACTGATGAGCCGGTGCTAATGGAAAACACTGGTATTTTATTATTATTTTAATCCCTTTTATAATGATCGGAACCTGTTAGTGGTAGGGACCTGCACTGTGATTTTGATTTTGTGGACTAGGGATTTTTTTTCTTAATGTTCCATCCCAAGTTAAATGTTACCTGTGTAAATGCGCTCTAGCTGACGACCTGTATATATTTGCTTTAGCGACTAATCACATCAAGCAGCCAGTCGAGATCCCCCGTCACAGCCACTGAGTATTTAGCTCAAGTGCGTCGGCAAAAGCAAACAGGCCCTGAATGTTGACTAATTCTAATGCGAATATGGACATTTCCCCCAACAGCATTTTAAGAGAAATTGGTGCACTTCAACAAGGGGCTTTGGTACAGTTTAGTCCCTCCCACCTCTCATTTGTCAGTCCTATTTCTCCAGCTGTCTCTCCCCTCTTCCTGTGTTATGACTCCTCTCTCTATGATGTAATAAAGCTGTCAAGTGGTTCTGTAAAGTGTCTCGACTGTGGCTGTGACTGACTGTTGTCTTGTCCCTCCGCTCTACAGAGTCCTCTGACGAAGACAAGGCTTCAGGTGATGAAGGTCTTCCAGACGAAGATTCTGATGTAAGTGGTGCTGATGAGACACAAAAGGGCTGTGGGTGGGAAGGAATACAGATGGATTGTTAAATGCCTACTGAAGTTTATTCGACAAGGTGTTGTAAAGCACATACACATTCTCACAGATCATTACGTTTATTGGTAGTTTTGACGCGTGAACTGAAGTTTTTCACGGAGTTGTGGGGTTGACCTGGGAAATGTGTGGTCTGTGCAGAACTGGGAGGAGGATGGCATAGAGGATGAGACTATGGAAGACGAGGAGGATAAAGAAGAGCCGGAGGAAGTCATGAGGATGGAATCCAAAGCGAACGGTGATTCCGTCATGAAAACGAGAGCGAGGAGGAGTGACGCGCAAAGGAAACCAATCTAACAAAAACACACAAAAATGGACCTGAGATTTATATGTACTTTCATTTTATTTTCATGCTTTGATTTTTATTGTCGGAACAAAAATGGTTTTACAAAAAAAATAACTCACAATGGACAGGCAGTGGGTGCGCGTGACCATGTGAGTGAGGCCACTCATGTCGGTTCCCGGGACAGCCACTAGGGCGGCAATGTTATATCCCCACAACCAAGCTGAAAGACCCATATTTTGAAACTGTTCCAGAGATTCAAGCCCCACGCTTCTCTCCCCCTCTCCTGCTTTCTCCACTTTTCCTCAGTGGTTCAAGAGTGTGACCACCCCACCCCCACTGCTTGTTCCAGAGAAAAGGTGGCCTTGTTGCCTGACATGGGGTTGATCCCAAATGGCACCATATTCCTTACATAGTGCACTACTTGCTCTGGCCTGTAGTGCTCGTCAAAATTAGTGAACTATATACGGTGCCATTTTGGATGCAATCATGGCTAATAGATCATGTCCCCTCGCAATGTAAATCTGTATGAAAGGTGCAGTGTTCGTATGCGTCCCCAGCTACCCACCAGCATCCTTGGGGATTAAATTAAATTCTTCTGTAAAGTCTCCAACTGAACCCTTTGTTTTTGTTTGTCCTTCACTCCTTTGTGCAATGAGTTTTTCGGGGCATGGAGGTTGTGTCCACTGCCTATAATCATAGCCGGAGGGGCGACCAGAGAAAAAAGAATGAACTTTGCTCGATTAGGTGATTGAATGGCTTTTCAAAATGGCTGCCATGTCTAAATGCATAGAAGGTGGTCAGAAAGGGTTATTCTTTGTTCATTATTGTTCAACAAATTTAATTGAAAATCAGTTTCTCTCCTTGTTCACAGCTGTTTGATGCTAGTTTACTTTTTCTTGACAGGAAAATGCAACTGACAATGTGAATGTTCCTTGATGTAGTTTAGCACTTTTTCTTTTTTTTAGGGGGTAGATCAGCTTTAATATTGCAGATAGATTGTAACTTCCATCTATGTAATTGTCTGCATCACTTCCAATCCCCCGTGTTTTTCTTCTCTCGCATATATATCCTTTAAAAATATATATATATTTCCCTTTATTACTTTCCAACCCCACCACCCATTCCCTAATTGGAGTAAACAAGTGAACAATGCTTACGCCTCTACTTCCAGCTAATACATACATTTTATGGACAGTCAATTTTACAATAATTCTATTTTGTTTGTTTTTACTCCTGAACTTCCTCTACCCTCAACCTCTCCGATCATTTTCATGATGTCCATCCGGTTTGCTTCTATATGCCATATCTTTCTAACTGTGTTCTTTCACAAAAGTGTAGTTTAGCACTTTGTGGGCAGACTAAAAGTGGAATTGATATAAATATGCTCATGGTACCTCGATTTACAGGTTGGTTATTCAAAGAAATGCCACAAACCCTTTTTAGCGACAAAGTAGTAGTACAAATGAAACAACCTCCTGACGGGGGTAATATTTGGGGCTGAGATGAGCAGGGTTGCACATGGGTATAAGGACTAATATTAGGTTATCTGCTCTGTAGAGGACTAAAGCCAGATTTAATAATACTCAATTTGGACAGACATTCTTGACAGACGAGGTGGAAAACGACAACTGTTGAACCTACTAAAAGGCACTAAAACAAAAAATCTCTTCTAGTCAATGTAGGATAATCTGATGAAAGGCACCGAAAATAGAACTAACAAAAGATTCAAGATAGAGCCTGCAGGGCTTCACTGTCAGTAACCATGTTTCCATCCACAGTATAAAAAAATAACTATCACGACAGCTGTGATGGAGACGGTACGTTTTGGTACAATTTTTGTTTGTTCGACTTGGTGTGATTTTTTTGTGTTGATAAAATTAGTAATGCGAGAAGTGGTGGTGGAAATGCCTATGCGCAAATATTGATAACCATATCAACATACTTGGAGTCACATGATGACATGGTGTGTAGTCCTCTCACTACGACTCGGGAAAACCATGCAGTTTATTAGGCTACAGATGAAATAAATTGATGAGCGCTGTGATCTTGATGCTCCTTTCCAATAAATGAGGGTCTTATTCTGGTGTCATGATGATCGTTGCTTGACTGGCGTTAGACAAATAAAAAATATTATCTTATCCATAATAATCTCATGTAGACTAGCCTACCCGCACTGTATCTGCGAGCTGGTGGCTAGAGCGTACATGCCAAGACCAGAGTAGGCACATTTAAGCAAAAAAGTAAATTGTGTGCACTAGATCAGCAAGCACTGATTTGTATCTACAACAAATCAGTTTGGTGGGAAAAGGTGCATATTTTTTATATTCGCATAAAAATCTGCCATTTGGATGGAAACCTAGCAATGATCTCTCGAGCTTTCACACCGCATGGCTGAAAAGCACTTTGACTACTAGAGGGAGTCTCAAGTGGGAATTCAACTCCCACGGCGCCATATTATACCCATCAAGAAATCTGAAGGTTGATGCTTTCTCAAGCGCACCCGGATGTATTCCTGTAAGGCCTTAGTCCACTGAACACCTTCCCATTTTAGCTGAGCAAACCTGGAGGCGGAGAGGGCAAATCCGAAGGTGCTTCATCTGCTAATTAGTGTTATTCATCATAGATGTGGTGGTAACCCCCCCCAAAAAAGTGAACTAGGCCTATATCTTTATATATATATATATATTAGTTATTAGGCTAGACTACTTTTTTTTAAATGGTCAAACAATGCCCTGTGCGATTAACTTGAAGTCATTTATAATGCATAGTCTATTCATTTACACATTTAAAGGTCCAATGCAGCTGTTTTTATCTTATTTCTGATTGCCCCTTTTGAAGGCCCAGTGCAGTCAAATGTGATATTCCTGTGTTTTATATTTCCACACAGGTTGGAATAAAACAAATAGTTAAAAATGATAATGCCCTATAGCCTCAACATGGTTAACGCTATTATTTTGATATCATGGATGGCCAGTGGTTACATTTCTCCAGCCCCATCCCTCAGCTTTTTACCGAAGTGGGCATGGAGAGACTGGTATTGTTTCTACTGCTGATTACTGCTTTAACGAAAAGCTTTCCTCTTAATCCTACATGAGTGTCTTGGACATTGGCTCTTTCTCATTTCTAAACATTGGTTTGAGCGAAGAGGACCCCAGTTCGTCATTCAACAGATCAGTGTTTGTAGACTGCTCTGCCAGGTCATTCCAACACTTTCGATTAAATAGGGTCCCAATGCAATCAACTGCAAATTAAGGAATCCCCACTGGGTATTCACGCTAAAGGATTAGGCTATACGACCACACAGGGACGCATGAACACGGATTAAGTCCTATATGCATTTATCAATTGTCCGTTTTGGTCTGTCAAAAGGTCAACTATTTTTTGTACGAGCGACATACAGACACAGACAATTTGTGCATTTTTTGATGGACAATCATCCGCTGTCCAGCATCCGTCAACGGATCCCTCCCATTGGTAGGTGTGGTTTTGTTTCCATGTCCAATGATCGACAATCTCTGAGACAAATGCCGCCTTCACAAGCTAATCGGCACTACGAAACTCAAACATGTCTGATTTGCTAACTGGTTGAATGCGGCACATGTATAGGCTATCTACAACCACTTAGCAGGTCAGTTATTTCAGAGTTTTTAGTTCCGACTAGCATGTGAACGCGGCATAAGGCCTAGATCAAATCAGGTTAGTGGTAACCAACATTTGCATAGCATATCATTGTTTTTGAGGGGGCGATGTCAGAGGTGTAACTGCGTTGGAGCTGTCAAATCGGTGAGCGGCTGCTCTTGTGGTCATTGTCATGAAGCCACACCCGTACTTATATCCCACCCATGTTAGAAATTCAGAACGAGAGTGTAGGCTATATATAAACTGTCCGGTCACGCCATGGTTAGGATCTACATAAATACAATTGAGTCACTTGATTATATATATATATATACTTGCAACACAGTCATAATTGATGTTGTGCAAAGTAACTGTTTAAACCAGCATATATTTTAACAGGATCCAGTTACACACATAATGAAGTGTAGCCTACTCCAGAAACTACTAAAAGCACTTTCTCGTTGTATGTATATACAGTAGTGGTCAAAAGTTTTGAGTGACACATATTGGTCTTCACAAAGTTCGCTGCTTCAGTGTTATGAGATATTTTTGTCAGATGTTACTATGGTATACTGAAGTATAATTACAAGCATTCCATAAGTGTCAAAGGCTTTTATTGACAATTACATTAAGTTTATGCAAAGACCCTTCTTTTTCAAGACCTCTGCAATCCGCCCTGGCATGTTGTCAATTAACTTCTGGGCCACATCCTTACTGATGGCAGCCCATTCTTGCATAATCAATGCTTGGAGTTTGTCAGAATTTGTGGGATTTTGTTTGTCCACCCGCCTCTTGACGATCGACCACAAGTTCTCAATGGGATTAAGGTCTGGGGAGTTTCCTGGCCATGGACCCAAAATATCGATGTTTTGTTACCCGAGCCACTTAGTTATCACTTTTGCCTTATGGCAAGGTGCTCCATCATGCTGGAAAAGGCATTGGTCGTCACCAAACTGTTCTTGAATGGTTGGGAGAAGTTGCTCTCGGAGGATGTGTTGGTACCATTCTTTATTCATGGCTGTGTTCTTAGGCAAAATTGTGAGTGAGCCCATTCCCTTGGCTGAGAAGCAACCCCACACATGAATGGTCTCAGGATGCTTTACTGTTGGCATGACACAGGACTGATGGTAGCGCTCACCTTGTCTTCTCCGGACAAGGTGTTTTCCGGATGCCCTAAACAATCGGAAAGGGGATTCATCAGAGAAAATGACTTTACCCCAGTCCTCAGCAGTCCAATCCCTGTACCTTTTGCAGAATATCAGTCTGTCCCTGATGTTTTTCCTGGAGAGAAGTGGCTTCTTTGCTGACCTTCTTGACACCAGGCCATCCTCCAAAAGTATTCGCCTCACTGTGCGTGCAGATGCACTCACACCTGCCTGCTGCCATTCCTGAACAAGCTCTGCACTGGTAGTGCCCCGATCCCGCAGCTGAATCAACTTTAGGAGATGGTCCTGGCGCTTGCTGGACTTTCTTGGGCGCCCTGACGCCTTCTTCACAACAATTGAACCTCTCTCCTTGAAGGTCTTGATGATCTTGATGATCCGATAAATGGTGATTTAGGTGCAATCCTACTAGCAGCAATATCCTTGCCTGTGAAGCCCTTTTGGTGCAAAGCAATGATGACGGCACGTGTTTCCTTGCAGGTAACCATAGTTAACAGAGGAAGAACAATGATTTCAAGCACCACCCTCCTTTTTAAAGCTTCCAGTCTGTTATTCTAACTCAATCAGCATGACAGAGTGATCTCCAGCCTTGTCCTCGTCAACACTCTCACCTGTGTTAACGAGAGAATCACTGACACAATGGCAGCTGGTCCTTTTGTGGCAGGGTTGAAATGCAGTGGAAATGTTTTTGGGGGATTAAGTTCATTTTCATGGCAAAGAGGGACTTTGCAATTCATCTGATCACTCTTCATGACATTCTGGAGTATATGCAAATTGCCATCATCAAAACTGAGGCAGCAGACTTTGTGAAAATTAGTATTTGTGTCATTCTCAAAACTTTTGACCACGACTGTACATACAATGAGA